TTACTACCTCATTGTTGTAGTTAGCGCTAAAGACTAAAGAAGCTATTATATTAGGCCTAGTTTAATTAAGCTACATTCTTATTAAGCAACGCGCTAATAATATTGTTAAGGGTGTTGTTATTAATAGTGTATTCTAAGGCGCGTATCTGCTCTCGGCGTATCTATATAAAAGCCTCGTAGAATAGAGAGATCTATATAATAAATATATAGACAGCCTAGTATTAGCTAATAGCTAATTTAGTATCCTTTAAGGTACTAAGCTTCTTCTTGTACTTATTATAGAACTTCTTAATGTCCTTACTATTATACCGAAGGGTAATATATTCCTAGTAGAGTATAAATTTAGTAGACCTACCTTTACTAGTGTATTTCTTCTTAAGGAAGTCCTACACTTCCTAGGATGTAGATAGACTAAGTAGTAATTGTTAAATGTTACTAATACAATTAGCAAAGATCTAGGTACGTGCTGTTTGATCTTTAGAGTCCTATTTATCTTAGCGGTCTTTAAACTCCTTAGAAGACTTACTAGAGGCCTTAGAAAGGGGTCGCTAGCGGGTACCTTGTATATAGCGCTAGACCGACATACCTTTAAGGGCGCCTTTAGCGGCGTACGACTATAATAGGTAATTCTCCTTATTCTTTAGCTTAGGAATGTTGCTTATATAAGCGCTAGAGGTTGTAGAGGGAGCTATTACGGACAGCGACGGCGATATAGAAATAAGACTATAGACTTGTCTTAAGGGGCGGCCGATAGGCGCGCCTATATTATAGTATAGCGGACAGCTAATACTATTGTTAGGAACCGGTATAGCGGACAGCTAACACTAATAGTAACCGACTCGAGTCGGACTAGTACCTACTAGAGTACTCGAGGGCGGCGGCGGCGACGGTATTAGTATCGGCGCAATTTTTAGTAACGGGCGCTATCTACGTAGTAGTCGGATTAACTATTAGAAAACGTATAGAAATGCGTTAGAAACGTAGGGGGCTTATAACTACTTAATATAACTAATGTATTCGGAAGAAGGACTAATCTATCTAGAAGTCCGAAGATAAAGTGTAGTAGTTGCAGCCTTAGGCATTAGGCACGTAATAGACTCTAACACCTAGACATACACTCCAAGTGAAGGGCTATAGAACAATATCTTCTATACCTATTAGGGAACCCCTAAGGGGATAGTTTCCGACCGAGGCTCGATATTTATATCTTACTATTAGAGTAAGATATGCCTATAGCTAAGACTTAAGCATCGGCTATCTATAGCCTTCTATCTATAGACAGATAGCTAGACCGAGAGGTAGAATGCTACCCTATAGTAGTACCTACGCGGCTATATTAATAAGAACCCTAATAACTAGGTTAACCTCCTATAACTAGCTAAATTCGTATATAATAACAGTGTCTACTTATCTACTAAGGTCTCCCCTTATTTCGCTATAATAGGTAGCAACCCTATATTACTATAAGACCCCCTATCGCTCGAGGCCGAGCGTAAGGAAAGGAAAGCGGGTTAAGGTTAACCTAAGATACTAGCGGCTATTAAGAGGATTTAGAAGATGCGAGAAATTCACGCTAAGATAGCTAACAAACTAGCAAAGGCCTAGGCCTATTAGAAGGCCTATTATAACAAACACTATACGCTAATAACCTTTAAGTAAGGCGATATAGTTATGCTTAGTACGAAGAACCTCCGTATCCGCAAACACCTATCCCCTAATAGCAAAACAAGGCCTAAGCTCGTACTAAGATATATTAGCCTATTCCGTATTCGAGAGGCTAAGGGTATATAGGCCTACTAGTTGTAGCTTCCTCCTTATTATACTATCTATAATACCTTCTACGTATCCCTCCTTAAACTATATTACTAGCGCGAAGGCGATAAAGCGCCTACTAAGTTAGAAGAAGTCTTAACCGATAGTAAAGAGCTATTATAGTAAAGCCTCTTTTAAAGACATAACTAAGTTATTAGATAAGTATTAGACTAGTATAAAGAATAAGAAGAAGGCTAAGGGCCTATAATATCGCCTAGGAATAATACTACCCCTAGGGTACTATTAGCTAACTAATTAGAAGCAAGCAATTGTTAGTAACGAAGGATAATAAGACTATACTACTATAGCGAACGCGTACTAAGTATTAACGAGCGCGCTATAACTATCGACTAATCCTCTACTCTTTTAAGGAATCTACTTTTTTACTAGCGTACTCTATAAGACCCTCCTTTTAACGCCCCCTTTTATTCCTTCCTTTTATTAAGGCCTCGAGGCCTAGGCGATCGGCGAGAGCGGCGCGCGTACGCGTAGAGGGCGACGATAATAATAACAATAGCGTCGCGCTTATACGGAAGGATAGCGCGGCTATATTAGTAACGGTATTATAGAGTATATTATTAGTTAAAGAAGGAAATCGGAAGTAAGGTAAAGTTAGCGCTAAGGCGACTAGCGCCGCTATTATTAATATTACCTACTCGCTGCTATTACTAACCTTACTTGTTATCGCTACTATGCCTATAAAAACAACCTTACCTATACTATAGCCTAAGGCTAAACGCACTACTCTAACTAGGTTAAAAGGTTAAACTATTCGAAGGACTTAGAGACTAAAAAGGTTAAGCGACTAATAGACTAACTAAGGGTAAAACTATAGAGCTAAGCTAGCTAGGGTCGATCTTGCAAATAATAGGTTACTCCTTAATCTTTCTAATCCTTTAAGTAAGGCGAACCTTAACTATTACACTTATAATAGCCTTTATCTATAGAAACTAGACGAGCTATGTTTTTTCTAAAAAGATAAGATAAGATTGACAATTAAAGGCTACTAAACCTAACTAATTAGGGCTAGTAAAACTACGATAGTAAATAATAGCCCTCGTAATAATAAGAACAACCCTCGGAGCGGATATTGCTAGGTCTTTTAAGAGTAGACGCAAAGAACTCGGTACGACATTACTTAGAACGGAGGTAGTGCTATAATACCTCGTACGTCTACCTATTATAGTAGAGAAGACGCGCTCGTATTATAATTAGTCGATAGTCCTTAATTCTCGTAGTTATATATTACTTTATTATATATAAGGATAGCGTAGTTAGAGTTAAACATTATATTATATTAGAGGTAAGGTTTGATATAGTTACATAATTAGGTAGTTAAGTGTTTAATTTAGCGCGGCTAAGCGGCTTATTAGACTTGCTAAGTTAGTAGTAATAGAGGTCGAGATTAGAATATAAACAGGCTACGAGGGCGCGGCCTTTAGAAGGGAAGCGTATATTAGGGCTAAAGAGGCTATACGTAATTAGCATATAATTAGGCCGAGTAAAGCTAGGGTCTTAGTGCCTTAGGCAGGGCTTGGCGCTTAGCGTTAGGCTAACTAGCCTGCCTTCCTCCTTCTCCTCCGAGTTCTCTATCGAATACTACTTATACTTACTACTACCCTATCTACCTACTAACATAACCCTTCTTATACTATATCTTTAATACTAATAGGCAATACGGCAAATAAGACGCTAGTTGCTAAGGCGCCGACTCTATCGTTTACGCTAATTAATGCCTACCTATCGTTTACGCTATTTAACGCTAACGAGGTAACGCTATCTAAGTCTAGCACTAAGAAGAGAAAGAAGAATAAGGACAAAGCCCGACTTATCGACTAAGACGAAGGCAATATAACTCCTCGGCTAACTAAGAAGGCTAAGAAGGCGACCTATACTACGCTAAAGATTATACTACTACTAGCTTAGGCGACGTCGTCGGATAAAAAGAGAGCCCTAGCTAGAACCCTAACGGCTTAGCCTACTAAGGATCGAACTTCGAAGGCGGAGCTAGCTAAGTTATTACTAACGAAAAAGGAGAAGCGTAATAAGATACTTAGAGAGTAGAGAGATATAATACGAGATATCGAGGTTAATATACTCTATCTAGTACTAAAGGAGACGCTTCGTATAGATCTAGTTATATAGAGAAATATAGACGACGACAGCATCGAGCGAGTATCTAAGAAGGTTAAGAACTTAACGAAGAAACTATAGTCCGAGGATAACTAACTATTATAGGAACTTATCTAGCGATAGTTTTAAGCGCGTTACGACCCCGAGGCCGAGCGAGTTACGTTTATTAGGCGATAGTACTAGGTAAGGGAAATAGTCGCTAATAACGAAGACTCCGTAGACTCTATAGACTCTAGAGTATTATTAGCCTACTTCGAGGTATTCGAAGATAGGGACAACCGCCGCGCGGCTAAGGAGCCTACTAATAATAGAGGTAATAATAACCTAAACCCGCCTAAATAGCAGTCTAGAGAGGAAGGTTTATTAGTAGTAACGACTAAGGCTACCTAGCCGATAGACGACCTTAGCGCTAAATTCGAAAGTAACTAAGAATAGGTACTCTACCGCAATATAGGAGTATAGACCGACCTAACTAACCTGTCCGTAGAGCGATATACTAACCGATAGATAGTAGCTAAGAAGGAAACGCGACGAGCGTAAGTCTAGGCCTAGTTAGAACGTAAGGAGGCAGCTATAGAAGCTAAGGCTAATAAGAAGCGAGTAGAATTCGTAGAGAGGAAGGCTAAGGTACTAGTATACCTTTAAGTAGATATGAGCAGAAATAAGAACGGACATTATACCTAAGTAGTAGACGGCCTACTAGATAATTAGTATCTAGGCAACGAGGAAAGTTAGAGTAACGGTACGAGGGCGTGCCTTTTCTTTTATTTAGAGTAGACTATTACAGAATAAGGAAGTAACGGTCTAGGGGTTAGCTAACTAATAGAGCGACGGCTCTACCTTTATAATTAGCCTTCCTCCTCTATATAACCATTATCAATCTCAACTTTATAACAAAAGGCAATGTAGAAAAATGCGCTAAAGGAACAGTGCAGCGTCACTTTCATGAATTCTTTCCCAAGCGGCTCAAAGCAGAAGCGCGATGTCATCAAGCCCACTTCATGCTCCTGTTCTCATCTTCAGCTGTATTTCTGAGAACTACACACCGACCTTCTTGCGTTCCCGAGAGAGCATAATATGTTGCCACGGGTCGGGATTCACGCTCCATCCACTTACACGATTAGATGGCATCTGCTTCGCCATCAGCAGGCGCTCTGCGCCCGAGAGGCGGCGAGGAGACTCCCCATCTCTCGCGGCGGGAATGGTGGCAGCATTGTATTCGTCTCCTCCAAGGCTTCTCAAATCGGCTCACCGCACGAATATGCGGACTATGCAGCTAGCAAAGGAGCTGTGGATTCTCTGACTCTGGGCCTCAGCAAGGAACTTGCACAAGACGGAGTGCGAGTCAACACGGTGCGACTGAAATACACACGACAACTGGTGATCCAGATCGAGCTGAAAGACTTGGAAAGCTGACGCCAATTGGCCGACCTGGCGAAGCTGACGAAGTGGCAGAGGCTATCCTATGGCTGCTTTCACCTGCAACCTCCTACGTGACCGGCTCCTTCATTGACGTCTCTGGTGGTCGTTAAATGGCAAGTCCGTAGGATCGGATACCTAGCATAGTGCATAGGCGCCCGGAGTGAGACTGAGAGACGCTGTGCGCTGCAACAAATGCAGCCGGCTGCATGGACGTTTGGACACGAAAGTCAGATCGGAAGGATTCTGACCGGCGCCAAGAGAGGCACTCCGCTCCGACCGAGGACTCTGCATGCAACATCGGCGCTTGATCTCGTATCTGAAACGGTCACCCGGAGCACTACACATGTCTGAACCAGCGTCTGACTTCTCTTCTTGCATCCTCTAGTCGGCGGTCACTCAGAAATGTTCCTCTTGCAACATCGGAGGTTAATTCGCAAGTTGCATTGCAACACTGGCACCAGTCATCCGATGGCTATTCTAGGCCAACATCAGGATTGGCAAAGTTTCAATGTATCATCGATGGCTAGCCGTTTGAATCTGCTACGAATACATCCAGAAGTATATAACAGAGGATCCAGATGCATCGCTCGATCAAGCTTGTCAGCACGATTAGAGGTCATCCCCACCAACCCGCGCGGCATGGGGATTATGCCCGCCGTCCAGCCACAGTTCAGCGTCCATCGCCTTGGCCGCCTCGCCATAGGGGCCAGCCGAAATCCGTTGCAGACGCGCAGGCCAGCGCACGGACCTCAGACCTTCGGCGATCGCCGCTTCCGGCAGGTCCAGCTCAAGCGCCGCGACGATGCATTATCCAAGTCAAGGATCATCATTCGCTCAGCCTTGGCGGATCGCGAGCTGGCACCCATCGTGATGGTGAGCGTTGGACGAAAGACTAGAGTTGTTCACCAGAGTTGGAATTGACAAATGATGCTCCGCAGAACCACAAGTGCAATGGCTGCGTGCTCACTCCAGCAGGCTTAAACCTCGACATGGCCCACACAGTCGCCAAGTACATCTATCACCACCACAACGGCGAAGACGCCGAACTCCCCGGCATAAAAATCTACGACACTGAAATCCACAAACCACTGATCGTCAAAGACATCGAGAAAGTCGGCGACCTGTGGATAGAAATGGAAACCACAATCGACCACCCCTCAGCCTCCACATCAACAGACATAATGAACGCCACAATAAAATGCGTCTTCCACTCCATCACCCCTCAAGGCGTACGCCTCCAAGAATGCGGCTACTGCTCCATCAAATTCGAATCCCACCAATCCTGGCTCCAAGAATGGCAACACTACACCCCCATCATCCTCGACCGAATCCAAAACCTCCACCGCAGAGCCTGCACCGAAAACAACATGGACGTCCAACTCATCCAACGCTCCCACGCCTACAAACTCTTCGAATCCTTCGTCCAATACGCCCCAAAATACCAAAACATGTCCGAAGTGATTTTCAACGCGCGAAACAACGAAGCCACATCGATCATCGACTTCCCCCACCTCGACCCAAACACGGATTTCACAGCTCCGTACTACCTCGACGCTTCATGCCACATTTCCGGCTTCGTCGCCAACGCCGTCGAACCCGACAAAGACAAAAACGCGTTCGTATCCCACGGCGTCGCCGCGCTGAAACTCTCTCCGAACTTCCAACCCGATCGCGTCGCGAAACTTTCGAGTGCTTCGACACCCACGACGCCTGCCATCTCCAGGGCTCCTTCGTTCTCCGCTGAGCCTGCGAATGCCGCGTTCCGGGGTATGAGGAATTATGTCCAGATGCGACAGGATGCGAGCGAGAAGAGTGTGATCAAGGGTGATGTGTTTGTGTTGCAGGATGGGGAGATTGTGGGTGTTTGGGAAGGGGTGCGGTTTAAAAAGATTCCGAGACGGGTGTTGAATGTGTTTTTGCCGCCGCCGAAGAGGACGGTGAGTTTTAGTCAGAATGCGAAGAAATGAGGGAGTGAGATATGTATGGGTGGGATTGGTTGTGGTTTCTTCGTCGTGTTTGTGACCGTGAGTCAGCAGGCGTTTCGAGCTGTGGGTTTTATATAGGAGTTTATCAGGGAAATTGAAAACCCGTGGTTCCCTGCGTCAAATGGTTGTCCCTCCCTCATGCAGCTTCGAAATGTCAAATCACCTCGCTCGCCTCCCAACTCTCATATTGCCGTACATCCCCCGCATACGACGGCGTGAACTCAGATCCGCAATGCGTGTAATCCATATAATGGATCTGTCGTACGTCAGGGAACAGGGGTTCGTACGAAATATGCGGAGGGTTTAGAAACTTGCCTGGTTTTCTATCATGTCTTCATCGTGACTTGCTTCTTTGGGTTTGGTGGTGATTATGTGGAGGTCCATGTATCGATGATTTCCGGTGCGACGTCCTTCTTTCAATCCTATTGCCGGATTTTCTTAAGCTCGTCCACTATCCACATCGAACATCATGTCAGCGGAGGCATCCTCTGTGCTACAGTGATCGGTTGGGACGGTGAGGCTTGCCGCCAGGAGCGGTTCATCTTTGAAAGTATCGAATCGCCCTGGGAACAGTTTGACACCCGTTGGAAATGAGTCCGGATGCATATGTACTGATAAGGTAAGATGTATGCCGAGTGATAGATGATGCGCAATCTGTTTTTGCTGGGTTGCCGAATGGAGGCTAGAGATATTGCTGAGACGGCACACGTGCATGACCAATTACGGGCTAGACCACCACCCTACCACCCACGGGCTTCCTTCCTCCACCTTGACTTTCCGAGCAAGTCCTTCCGGAGTCGGCAGGGTCAAACATCGTAGGCGTGAGTGGAAGATCGTACCAGGCCGGTGTGAAGGTAAGCAGCAATGCAAGAAGTTTCAAATGCATTACTCGCCTCGTAGACCAGCAGCGAATGGCTCCCGTTCACGCTATGAGCGAGCCATCACTCAGCGTCAGATCTGCCAGATACCTCCACGACCTCAATAGGTTCTTCCTTAGGCGCCTCGACAGGGACATGACTTCTCACAACAATCCACGTAGGAAAAACCGCCAAACCTGCAAACGCACTCAGCAAACTTCCACACATTTATCGACCGGCACCTACCAAGAAGGATCGTATTCACCGCCAACGGCACACGTCCACCTTTCCAATTCCTCGAATTAATCCCATACGACACAGCCTGCGCAAAACTCTCCTGTCCACGGAGAATGCCCGAGAACCTGGCCAAATCCGAGATATTATCCGTCTTCGTGGCAAGCAAGTAATACATGAAATTCTGAAGAGCTTGCTGCGAGAACTGCCAGAGCGCGACGACGAAAAAGCCTTTGACGAACCCTTGGTCCGCCCAGTCATATACGGGTGCTTCTCTCATGCTGGTGTATTGCTCCTGCACGATCCAGGCGTATGTCCATGCGATGATGTGGAGGGTGATGACGTAGTAGAAGGCGAGAACGATTCTTTTCTTGATAGCAAAGGCCTTGTAGTCGAGGAGTGTGCTGATTATTTGAGACGAAAGGAGGCCGGCGAGGTAGCTGCAGAAACCCATGAGTGCTCGGGCTCTGACGCCGAAGTAATATGTTTGGAAATTTCCGGTGTATTGGTTGAAGTATGCGGCCCAGAATATTGGGAGCAGAAGTAGGATGTCTTTCCTCGTGCTGGCCTGCCACAGCTTCTTGAATTCTGCTTTGAAGCTGGATTCCGACCGAACGATGACTTTACTGCCATCAGCACGCTGGACCTTCTCGGGAGGGCTAAGCGCTAGTGCGAGTGGTACGGACACGCACTGCAGTGCGATGAAGACGAGATACGTTTGGTACCCGACTTTGCCTTTCTTCGCAGCATTGGCGTCGTGGTTCAATCCCAGGACGATAGCGCCGCCCATAAGAGGTCCACCTGTTCGGAACCAGAGCCAGATATTCATGTACAGACCTCGTTTCCCCGGTTCAGGATATCCCAGAGCAACGGCACCTTCACTGGCCCAGAAGAGACCTGCTGAGAGACCACAAGTCGTTGCTCCGACAAGGACAAGCCAGACAGTGCCATATCTATTGTTGCAATAAAGACCTGCCGAGTAGATTGGATAGCCTACTGCGCCGAGGAGTAGCGTCCAGGAAAGGCCGATCCGGTTCGAAATCGGTCCTCCGAAAAGACATAGGAATCCCATGAGGCTGAATACCAAAGAGTTGGCAGCGTTGACCAGGAAAGGCGATTGTGCTCCTCCGGCTCCGAGGGCATTCATGGCATTCCATAGACCAGGTGCCATGAAGCCAACGCCTCCGATGACGAAGGCATTGAAGAGGGTCGTGCGATACCATATTCGCTTCTTGAGAGGCTGTGGCTCATCAATGGGTAGAGATGTGCTGGTCTCGGGAATCTTGGCATCGATGCTCAGGGCAGTCATGGTTGATGAGGCTGAAGACAGAACAGTGCCAGCCTTGGGGCGGCTTGAAGTATAAACGCTTTCGTGGCGCCATCGCACATGTCCGCTCGATATGGAGCCACGTTACATTCGAGATGTCAAATTTTGCCAACGTCGAGTGTGTTGAGGTCGCGAATCCCGAGACAGTATTGCGACATCAATCGGATCCGCTAGCAAGGATTCTTCGGCAGCTTGGCGTGATCATCCTCATTGCTTCTCGTCTTGAAAGTGCACCGTACTGCATCGTCTCTCAACAGGCATCTCGAAAATGTCGTCTCACGAGCCGTATCCGCGATTACGCGTCGCAATTGTTGGAGCTGGGCCGGGAGGACTTGCAACAGCCATTGCATTGAGCAAGATCGACGACGTGGACGTGACAATCTACGAGAAGTCGAGCCCTTTGCGTGAGGTCGGAGCCGGTATTAGTATCGGGCAGAACACATGGAACGTCTTGTCGCTGCTTGGCATTGGCGATGAATTGAAAGGCCATCCGACTTTGACTGTACTCAATCTGTACGATACATGCCTCGCAACAGAAGCAGTACTCAGTACTCACAAGCGGCAGAAACGGCAAGACGGGCGAGGAAGTCCATAGATTGGACAAGTCATGCAATCTGGAAAGACCTCCGATCCGTACACAGCGAACAGAGCTTCAGAGGCTTCTTCGATCAAAGGTGTCCGACGACGTTTTGCGACTGGGTCGCAAAGTCATCACTCTCGAAGATCTGGACGACGCAGGCATTCGACTTGTCTTCGACGACGGGTCAAGCGTCGTTGCTGACCTTGTGGTCGGGGCAGATGGCATCCGGTCAGCCGTTCGAGATTCTGTCTGGAAAGACTACTCCCTATCTTTCACTGGGACGACGATTTGGCGTGTGCTGTTACCATGGGACGCTGTGAAAGATCTTGATCCAAGGTTCGAGACTACAGCTTGGTGGCATGGCCCAACTACGCATGTTTACTTCTCGCCCGTAGGGGAAGGACTTTGGGAGATTGCAGCTCGTGCGTGGCAGGATCCGAATGTGCACAGCGCAAGTAAGGTGACCTGGGGCACACCCATCGATAATGCAACAGTCGAAGCCAATTTCGTGGTGAGCGCAATGGCTTATTCCTCGATCATACAAGCGGTGCTGACATTGTCAGGAATATCTCCCCCAAGTTCGCGAAGCCCTTAGGCGGGTGCCGGAAGGTGCTTGGAGAGAGTTCGCAGCATTTTCAGGCCCAGAATTGGATGACTTAACCAACTGGAATGATAAGGTGGTCCTGGTTGGCGACTCGTCACACGCGCTGTCTGGCGCATTTGGGAGTGGTGCCGGCTTTGCGATGGAAGATGGCTATGTTCTCGCCCAAGCGCTGAAGCACAGTCGTAACGACGTCCATCGTGCGTTGCCACTGTTTAATAAAGTTAGGCTGCCATATTACACGCGAATGTACGCTCATCTTCAAGGCGAAGCGACGAAGCGAGCTCTGAATTTAAGAGGCTTCACTCACCCAAGCTATGACGAGAAAGTGCGCAACAAGGTCATCAAGGCCGGTGGTACTGATATGCGGTGGATCTATGAGAACGACATCAGCAAAGTTTGGCAAGACTCTATTGCTACGACGGCTTGATGGAAGGTGACATACCTTTGCAGGATACTAGACACAGTGAGCCTAGAGCACCAGTCTTCGCGGTGTCCATCATTTAACATTATAGCTGACTCGACTCGTTCCCTTGCTTCTAGAAATCTTCTTCACGGTAGTGTCACCACAAAGATCGGTGGTATCCACATGCGTGCCTCCGCAAGGATACGTCTCCAAGCCAGCCAGTCTGACGACACGGAACTTATCTTCGCCAGGTGGTAGAAGGCTGCGATCTGGGATAAGCCTCTCGAGACCATTTTTGCTGAATTCAGCTTCGGTCCAGAAGTCAATCTCAACCGGCACAGCGCGTTTAATGTATTCGTTGAGACGCTCTTGGATCGGTGCCTTCCACTTGCCATCGATTGAGCCCTGAAATTCGCACGCCGCACTGTCCGGGAAGTGGGAAGCTTTTAGTTCGTCGAAGCCCTCGATCTCCTTCTCTAGTAAATGCCGGACTGCTGCGCCAAGGACGTGTCCAGCTGTGTGTAGTCGTGAATAAAGCAATCGCTTCTCTGCATCCACAACCTGCTCTACCACGTTTCCCGGCTTGAATTGAGGCTGAGATGAGTCCGAAAACTGCCCTAGGTGCAAGACCTGGCCATTGCTTCCAGTGTCGACATCCATGCGGACGTTGGTCACTTGGAATGTATTGGATGAGCCATCTAAAGCCATGTGCCCTTCATCTGAGGGTTGTCCGCCGCCCTGCGGATGGAAGATAGTCTCTTTCGTGATGACAACAAAATCCTTGTCCGGCACGGCCTGTTTGAAGACGGAGCGATTGGCTTCGCTCAGAGTGGTGACTGGCAACACGGAAACGACAGAGGTCTTGAGGTGTAGGAGCTTGCCATCGTGTTGAAAAGTCAGATGTGTAGGGGCCTTTGATCCAGTCATGTTGAAAACAGATGTTGAGCTTGGTGTGTAATAGGCTCTATGGACGCTCTGGCTATATGTAGCTGTGACAGCGAAATGACATTGCCTTGCAGTTATGACTGTGCGAAAGCGAGAGAAAGTAAGGAGGGTTCTGAAAGGAAGGCAGGTCGAAGACGTGATGACTAAGCTCTTGGCGTTTCCCGGAAGAAAGAACCAACATTTTGTGTTTTCTTCTTATACTGATAACGTGTGCAAGGAGGACTTCGTAATGCCACCCTCTTCGTTAGCGTAGTGGGAAGGGCCGCTGCTAGCTGTTTCCGGTAGACGCTAAACGATTAGTAGTTAGTTTAGCATTAATTAGAAAGCGGTAACCTCCGCGAACCTCGATAAGCAATACCTCCTACGGTCGCAAATGCGACTATACTATTCAATTTTATTAACCGGCTATATACTACTATAATAGCGACAAAATGAAGTCTAAATATCTATCCTAGAATACCCTTTCCTTATCTAATAAAGAAGCGAAGCTCCGAAGGATAATTAAGCGCTTCCGAGCCGGCGAATACGAGTCTAAAGTCGCCTACTATTAGGACTTCGAAATCCCCTATATAACCTTTAACGACCGAGTCCGTAGCCTCTATAATAGCTCCGTACAATATAGAGAGGGCTAGAAGCGACTAAATAGTATATAAAGAGCTACTCTAAAAGAGCTAATACTAAGAATAATCGGAATAGGGTTTCTACTAAGGTATAAGACTATTCGAGGGTAGGTAGAGTAGATACTTGCTATAGATCCGGATTACAACCCTCTTATAATACCTCCTATAGGCGTCTACTAGCCGGCTTGCTTCGTTAAACAAGACGACGACCTACGCCTTCGGTAGACTACTATAATAGACTACTACCGCCGCAGCGTTACTAATAATCCGGAGGTACTAATTAAATACTTTAAGAAGCTAGCGGATACGATAAAAGAGTATAATATTGCAGTAGAAGATATAGCTAATTTTAACGAAGCCGGATACCTTACTAGTTATTACGAGCGTAACTTCTAGGTTGTTATTTATACGCGTAAAGCTAGGTCTACCTTTATACGATAACCTAGCGGTCGTAAGTAGATAACAACTATTAAAGCTATTCGAGCCGATAGTTATTATATACCTCTATTCTTCGTATTTAAGGCGAGATAGGTTACTAAAGCGTTGTTACGGCAATTCTAGCGCTAATTCTAGTATATAGGTACTAGCTTCGCTATAACTAACAATAGCTAGTCTAATACTAAGATTGCCGCTTAATAGATATAGTATTATAATATCCGTTGCCCTCCGAGCAAAGAAGGCAAATAGCGATTGCTAATAATAGACGGTTACGACAGTTACAAGTTATTTAGTTTCCTATAGTATACCTTAGCTAATCGTATACTATGCTTATGCCTTCTAAGCCATTTAACCGCTTACTGCTAACCTTTGGATTATAGCGTATTTAGACCTTGCAAACTAGCCTATTCGAGCTAGTTAATGCAGCGCTATACCGATTATAGTCTAGCAACCGTTACTAAGACTAACTTCTTAGAAATTTACTCTAACCTATACGAAGAAGTCTTTATACCTAAGATTATAACGAAGGCCTTTAAAGGGACAGATATAGTGCTAGTCGACGTAGAGCGAGTAATTAGTAAGCTTCTACGGTCCTTTCGGCCTATAACACCTCTACTACTACGGCGGTAAGAAGGGGTAGAATCGTTACTAATTAATATACTACCGGCAGCAAGAATACTAGTTATAGGTCTACTACTAACGCTACGAAGGCTACTACTACAAGAACTCCGCTAGCAACCGGTTATACTAGCAAAGCGCCTCCTATTTAGTAGCAATCCTTCTATACTAATAAGCTATAAACGACTAAAGACAACGGCTAAGAAGGTAGACTTCTAGAGCTTACAATCTACCTTTAACAACCTCGGGTATACTTACCTGCCTTATACCTACGGCCTGCAACTAGCTATCTATAACAAACGAGTAGTTAACAGGTTTAAGAAGACAGTTAAGGCGGCTTAGGTGCTCCTTAAATAATATTATATAATTGTCCGAAAGAATAAAGGGCTCCGGTATGCCCTTAGATAGAAGATACGTAATAAAGAGCTTAAACACGTTATTAGCAAAGCTAAGGTCTATACAATAGACGTTGTAGACTCTATATTAGCAGAGGCTACTTAGAAGTCCGAATACGAGAAGCTCCGATAATTAGTAAAGGAAGACCTTAGAGCCCTTTAGCTTATACGTAAGCGAAGGTTAACCCTTGCCGCTTAATAGAATAGGACGGCTCGTAAGGAGCGTATTTACCTTGTTACTAAGCTTACTTAGTTGCGGAAGGAGTATAAAGCAGCTTATAAGACCGAGAGCTAGTATATACGAGATATCCGGTATCTTATAATAGGTAAGCGCTTACCTACAAACGCGGCTTTAATATACGTTAGTAAAGCCCTTTAATATATATAGCAACTCGAGGCTCGAGTTAAGGCCTTTAAACAAGCCGAGAAGGTTACTAAGTACGCTAAAGACCTATAGTAGACTAAGTAGACTAAGCTTAAGATAGCCGAAGAGAAGATTGCTATACTTAAGCGGATAGCAAGTAAGGCGGACGTTGCTAACAAGGCCGCTATCGACGCCCTCCTTGCGCTTAACTATATAGTAGACCTAACGGACGAGGTTAAATAGGAGGCGAATAATACTAACGATAAACTAGACGGTAAGGTTCTATTCTTAGTAGAAGATAATAGCGACGTCGAACTCCTCGATCCGCGGTAAGCTAATCTACGTTTAAATAGGGAGTAGTTGTCTATATAGGATATATACGATAGGGGCTTCTTTAGGGATAACAAAGCCGCCTAAAGCCCTCTAAATCTAATAGAAAAGCCGTCGACTAATTAGAAGCCGAGAAACACCTATTAATTATTAAAAGTATACTTAATCGACGTATCTCGGTCGATTAAGTGCACTTAGAATAGCGGCTTCGGCTAAAGTCCGAATTTAGGGAAGCTAGCTTTCTAGTATATATATCTACTATCGTACTATTACCGTTCTATAATACTTTATCTTTATATTGTATATACTTGTTATATATATTAAGACCCTTTATTTGCGCTATTTAGTATATCTATATATAGTGTAGATAGTGTGTTCTTAGTATCGAGGGCTAGTAGCTAGCCTAATTCTACCCTTTTATAGAAGCTCGGAGGTTGCCGAGCTTAGCTTAGCGGCACTTAGCTGTTCGACTAGGCTTTATACTACCTATTTCTATATTACTATATTCTATTATAATACATTAGCAACGATTGTAGAATTATAGAACCGGATGCTACGATTATTTTAGTGCAAAAATTAGTACAATCGCATCGCTATAGGGCGTATATTAATTCGATAAAGTATCGATATAAAACGACGAGGTACTTACAAATCTACGCTAACGAAGGGGTAGTATTACGAAGTCCTCCTTATACACGTTAGAGATAGAGTTCCGTACGTATATATTATTAGAAAGAAGGATAGGATATATATATCTTAGCCTAAGGCTTTAATAGGCAGTAAGCTTATAGTGTCTAATAAGGATATATAATATGTGTATGTCTTTAACAACGTCGTCTATACGCTTAAAATTTACTATACTCGATATAGTAGCTATATAAAAAGTTAAAGGATAACTAATAGGATATAGTAATTCTAGTAATTCCCGGTTTAGGATATATAGTATAAGCACTTTGCGATTATCCCGTAGCGCTAAGCTTTCTAACTACGGGTTATGCGTTTAAAGCTCGTATAAAGGGTTATTATTTTCTATCTCTACTTAGACTAGTAACAAAGGGTATTCGTATATATAATATAGAATTACGTGTTCCGTAGTAGACTTTTCTAAACCCGTAAGTAAACTTTCTAACCCCTCTACTAATTAAATAAACTCCCGTATAGACTATATAATACCCTTTAAGAATAGCGATTCCTATATTCCGCGCTCTAATTAGTAGAAAAATTTGCTTAGCCCTATATAGTTTTTATTTAAGCCCGCTGCGGAGTAGTCTATATACGGGACGCGGACCGCTATATTCCGCAAAGGCAAATTGTCTAATAATAAAACGCTAGTAAGAATATGTAAGGTAGGAATCGCTAATATTCTCGTCTGGTCTCGAGATAGATTATTTTAGGGGTTGGGTGGCCGCGTGAAAGGAGATAGTGTGTGGCTCATCACTGTAACGAGCGGGTCCAGGAGGAGCATAGCATAGCGCGACCTGGTTCAGAGCGTAAGTGATGTCTCAGCAGTTCGATGTGTGCGGCTGATGCGGGTGGTGAATGCCAAACGACAAGCCAAGCCAAGCCACCCTTGCAGTCCTCTCGTTCGGCGAGCCACAGCCGTACAGCTATTCTGAACGAAAGTGCCTCACGGCCTCGTCAGCGCCACGGCTGCAACTCTGGCGGCCAAACGGCGGCCTAAAAGGCGAGGGAGGTAGCCTGCCTTGGACAATGGGAAGTGTCTGCATTTCTCACCACTCAACGACAGCTTCGTGGCTTTCCGTCTTTCCTATGTTCACAATGCCTCTGCACCGTCGCAACAGCGACACAACGTCCATTAGCGAGGCGATCCATACCGAGTCCTGCAACATGTCCTGTGCCGCGAGAGGAGAAGAAGCACAATACGACATATATCCGAAGGGGAGCTTGTCTGGGGCAGAACAAGAAGAGGTGGAGAGAATGCTCCGAGCACAGTCTCAAGAAGTGTCTGAGAAGCGACACCCGATCTCCGGCATCCTCTCGTGGACGACTCGCCTGAGGAGAGACTCGGCCAATGTCCTGCGAAAGAGTCCAGAGTTCAACAGACACGTAGGCTTGGCAAGATAACAGTCATGAGGAGCCTTGCTGATCAGACTAGGTGAGCTCGTACCATGTCGCATGTGATTGTGGGCCCAAGCGGTAGCGACTGAAGATGCGCTACTTCCACTTCAGCGTGATGTGCTTCCTGAATGGATTCCTGGAGAGACACGCTCACAGGACAGCTGGCGGCGCCGGATTTGGTAGAGCAGCCAGAGCTATGGTGGAGCATCATGTCAGGAGCGTTCTTAGCGGCAGTCTACCTGCAATACATGTATTGATATTGGTTTCGTGCGATTCTCGAAGAACAGAAATTAGTAAGCAGCATCCAAGAAGAATCGTGCCTGGTTGATCTGACATCGTCCCCCGTCCGCCGCAATCTCCGCCCATGCCAAGCCCCAAGTCCTTCTGCACGTCACCTTCGCCGCAGCTTCGACAACGCAACAACGAACACGCCACACGCTCTGCCAGCCCATCGCGCCCGACTGACCCAGGAGAATCTGGCTCAGTCCATACGAGATCTCCAGCAACCCACCGCACGTTTTATGCAACCAGAGCCTCACGCGTTCTTCGAAACCACGCGCACAGAAAACACCGCCCAGCACACCCAGCAAGCCTCTTCCCAGCATGGAGTTCGGCAACACAACAGCGCAGTCAATCTGCTGCCACCAGACAATGTTGGCGCAGAGACGGCAAGCGCAGCTGAGCAACGTGAGCTCGATGCAGCTCTCGCGGAATCTCTGCACGAGACGAGCGGTGACCATGCCAGCCAGGCACGGAGATTGAGCTCGAGACACACGCCTTCGCCGCCTGCGCGAAATCGCGTGGAAGAATACGAAAGAAGCATACATACACCTCCCGTCAAACATAGAGAGGGACCAGCATTTGAAGTCATTAAGAAGCAGCGGGTTCCAGGAGATGAGCGTTCTCCTATTCAAGAATTGCCAAATGGCCAGTATCGTCGTGCTGTGTGCTGTTGACATTGTATACTGACACCTTACAGAGCTCTTGACCCATGCTTTGGCGCGCTTGGCTCCCGCAGACTTATTCTCGGTCTCGCTCGTTTCGAAGCGCTTTCACGACCTGGTTACTGGCCCGCACGCATGGCGAACCGCATTTGCACACTTCTTTCCTGGCCCGCACTCGATTGATGCACATCTGCGTGACGATGATAGCGAAGCACAGGTCATCATCCGCTCGGAACGCCGTGCTTTCACGCGTCTGACGGCTCTGGCTTCCTGGCGCAGCGAATACATCATGCGAACAAGGCTTCTGCGATCTCTATCCCGCGGCAAGCCTGTCCAGGCTATAGCAGCATCCCATTCATCTCGCGGAAGCACCGTTGCACCCATTATAATGTACAATTCACAGCAATTCACCACCATCAACCATCTTCATGGAAATTTTGCGACAGGTCCGGGAAACCGCACTCCACGTTTCATACACGGTGCCGATCATTCAGGAACTTGCACCACCAGCGACCCAACAGCTGTCAAGGTGGATAGCTGGGGACTTTCTGATCCTCAATTTTTCCTGCAATTCACTGATCGCTTCCCCGGCGATGCGCAGTATGGTCTTGGTCCTGGTGAAGTGGTTGGCGTTCCCAACACCATGGACGTCAGTCTGCCGTTTGGTATGGTTGTAGGTGAAGGTTCTCCGGGAGGCATGACATATTATCGTTCGACGGAAGAAATGCGAGGCCGGTTTCTTGCCTTCTCATCAGCCATGTCAGTGCCCGACCTTGGTATTCCACGGATCGCCTCGAGCCTTGAAGCTATCACTTCTGTCTGGATCGCAAAATCCTCTGCCGTTCCTACGCTCTCTGACGGTATCATTGGCATTCTTGCCGGCTCTTCTTTAGGATTGATTACCGCCTACAGCCTCGGATCCACGAGCGGCAACAGCAACAAGAACCGCGATCAACGTTTCGGACGTGGAGAGTTGACTGCTCGATGGGTGTTGAGCCCTGGCGTACCTATCATCGGCATTACCGTCGACAACGAGTACAATCCTGCACGTCACGCGCAGAATCGTATCTGGGCTGTGGCGCTGAACGCCCTGGGCGAAGTATTCTACCTCACGAAATTTCCGAAGCGGCCGCACGTCGAAAGAGGCACACGGCTTGACGACGAGTCGCTCGAGCGGACAGCATGGCTCACCGGTCGCACTGTGTACTGGAATTCCGTCGAGCCAAGCCGACGAGTGGCCAAGTTCGATCCGTATGCTGATGCCAGCGTCGACGGCAGCTATTCGCCACGCACGTCTTGGAATGGATTGTGCCTTAGCAAGCTGCAAATAGAAGCGGAAACCCGCGAGATCGAAGCATTCGCGGCGCGGAAGCCACATGAATTCCAACGCCTCTGCATGGGCTGGGACATGCGTCGCAGGCTTGAAGTCGACTTTGCTGGCGATGATGGAAACCATGCAGGTGAGAATGTGGTCGTCTTCGAGTGCGGTCAAAGTGAGGACACGAATGCGAGCGTCAAGCGGTTCAGCCGGTGCAGATTCCAGGAGTTCGTCTCGCGCGACGTGACTTCCACGCCACCTTTGACTAGTGCCAGCACAGAGGCTTCGGGCTCGCCGTCAGTCTTTGGTGGTGCGCCATCTCCCACTCTTTCACCGTCACAGACCTTTCCGTTCGATCGTCTCGAGGATTCTCTCGGTCACGACGACTTCGCCGGCTCAGTTACACCACGGCCAATGACTGAGGAATGGCGGACATCATCATTCTCCCTACATGGCCTCAAACACGTGCAAATTCTGGCTACTGCCATCGATTTATCGACCTTTGCTACTCAGACCACGTCGGAGGATCCTCTGCTTGGCTTCTCGGGCAAGTCCACAGCTTCGTCTCCATCCCTGACTCCAATGTCTGCTACCGAGGTTGTTGCCACTTCTGCAGACGTTCCTGGCCAGCGGGCTCGACTTTTTGCTGCTGGCACAAAACTTGGCACGGTACTGGTTTGGGATGTACGCGCACCTGTCTCGCGCTCTGTTGACGCTGTGAACACTATCGAGCCAGTGCGCATCATCCATACCGATTCTCCTGAGATCTCGAGTCTCGCTTTGTCGGCACTCTACCTAGTCCATGGTGGTAATGATGGTCTTGTGCAGGCTTGGGATCCCCTTGCTTCTAACACACAGCCAATTCGCACATTGAACTCGCGCTTCTCATCGCGTGCTCGTCAACGACTCCGGCAAGCACAGGCATCTCCTCAAGGCGTGGGTATCAACATGTTCGCTGCTGGAGCGATATGTCTAGACCCAGACCCGACTGTGCTGCGAGGCATGGTCTCGCTTGGAGCACAGCTCCGCTACTGGTCTTATAGCTCAACCGCTGCCGATCAATATAGGTCAAGCAAGCGCCGACTGCGTCGGTTCGAACGCGGCAGTAACAATGGCGGCGAACGTTTTTCTGGCGCAGTACGCAGCAATTTGAAAGGCTACATCGAGAGTGAACAGTACGAGCTAGCACGAGAGAAGGAACAGCGCAAGAAAGACAATCAGCGACTTGCAGGTCGTTTCGGCACAGATTTGATGGACGGCAGCGAGGAGGAGATGATTGCGTACGCTGCAATGCTCAGTCAAGAGAGTTATGAGCAAGATACCAAGCGGCGATCATCTGACAACAGCACTGCTAATAGCACGGCTGCTAGCAGCACTGATCACAGCATGTGGTCCACAGTTGAGCCGACGCCAGCACAAAGCCCGTCACCGCACATGTCGTCCCCCAAGACCGACGAGGAGCTTGACGCAGACATTGCAGAAGCGATTCGGCAGAGTCTGGGCACTTCACCTGGCGCTGGCTACGACATTCCGATTCGGCATGCGAAGCCTAAGGGCAGGAAGCCTGGCTCGACCAAGGCGTCTCCGAAGCCGTCACCCCAGCTGGCAGGATCGAGTCATGCGGCTGAGATGAACGATCTGGACTTTGCTATCCAATTGAGTCTGGCTGAGGAGCAGAGTAGGGCTGCGGATACTGACGCATTTCCTAGTCTGCCCGGGGGACATGGCGGGAAAGGTAAGGGGAGGCGGCACTAGATGTCGCAATATGGATGATTAGCAGGCTTGAGATGGCATGGCATTGTTTACTTCACTTCTACGTACCCAATTGATAATGCATGTGAGGCTTGCGATATGCAGTTTTCGAGGCTCTTCGCACAATTCCAGCTTTCCACCGTATCTGCACTTCCACGGAAGTGTCATCCGAACTTGTGAGAATCCTTTCACAAGCCTGTGTATCATCCGTAGGAGGATTAGATCGTGTCCAAACATTGGATATGTGTTGTGGAAGTGAGGCACGCGACCTCCGTCCCTCGCGGATGTTCGCGCCAAGGCTCACGCAAATGCGGCTCCGCCCGATGACGACGTTTCGAGCTTCGAAGGAGAGAAAGAACACAACAAAACCCTCCGACACGCCTGCATCGCCACCACACGCCTCCAATCCCGCGAAACATCCACTGCAAAATCACAGTTCACTTCTGCCTGACCTCGAAAGCTATCGCTCAACATCTAACACCGCACTGATCGCGCCGGACGACGGCTGACTTGGTCTCCACCACGAAACAGAGCTAATCTCCTGGCCTCAAAGCCACCGCCCGACCATAGCGCCAGCGTGACCGCATTGCCATCATAAGACCCCCGAGCTCGCCGACATCATGGAGGCTGCCGCATTGAGGCAGCAGCCCACGATGGACACCAACATGGAGGATGCAGGCAAAGTCGAGCACAGCCTAGGCGCCCCTGTCGACCCACCGTCAATACCGTGTCTCGATGGCTGGATTGAGTCTCTCATGCAATGCAAACAGCTCGCCGAGGACGACGTACGGAGACTGTGCGAAAAGGCGCGCGAAGTGCTGCAAGACGAAAGCAATGTCCAGCCTGTGAAATGTCCTGTCACCGTCTGTGGTGACATTCACGGCCAGTTCCACGACCTCATGGAGCTGTTCAAGATTGGAGGGCCCAACCCAGACACAAACTACCTGTTCATGGGCGATTACGTCGATCGTGGATACTTCTCCGTCGAGACCGTGACTCTCCTCGTCGCGCTCAAGATCCGCTACCCACAACGCATCACCATCCTGCGCGGCAACCACGAGAGTCGACAAATTACGCAAGTGTACGGCTTCTACGACGAGTGTCTGCGCAAGTACGGCAACGCAAATGTGTGGAAGTTCTTCACCGACCTTTTCGACTACCTGCCACTCACAGCCTTGATCGACAACCAGATCTTCTGTCTGCACGGAGGTCTGTCCCCCAGCATCGACACGCTCGACAACATCCGCGCTCTCGACCGCATTCAAGAAGTGCCACACGAGGGACCAATGTGCGATCTCTTGTGGTCTGACCCAGACGACAGATGTGGATGGGGAATCAGTCCGAGAGGAGCAGGATACACGTTTGGACAGGACATCAGCGAGGCATTTAATCATAACAACGGCTTGACGCTGGTTGCTAGGGCTCATCAGCTGGTCATGGAGGGCTACAACTGGAGTCAGGATAGGAATGTGGTTACGATATTCTCAGGTGAGACTGCGACGACATTGAGTGTGCTGCACGCGATGCTAATGTATTATCCAGCACCTAATTACTGCTACCGCTGCGGTAACCAAGCAGCTATCATGGAGATTGACGAGCATCTCAAGTACACCTTGTAAGTCTTGCTGACACCGCCTAATTCTAGCGCCCGCTAACGTTTACCTCTTTTCCCCAGCCTTCAATTCGATCCTTGCCCACGCGCCGGAGAACCAATGGTGTCCCGCAGAACACCAGACTACTTCTTGTAATGAGGATACCCCAAAAGTAAGTTGATACAAGAGCGGCGGCGGCGGCAGTGCAGCAGTAGAGAGAACCGTGTTGTCTTGGGATCTCATGGCAGCCACAGCTATGATGGAATGGTAGACATCTTTCTTCCGTTTTAAAACCTCGTGAGATTCTTCTTCTCTTGCAAGGAGGGATGGACCTGGGCCATGAAGAGCATGAATAGAAAAAGAGGACCGGATCAGTGGGCTTTCATGCTTCCTTCCTGTATCATAGCAGCTCCAGTCCGCGTTGCGCGCGGATCAGGGATCAATCGAGACGTCTTTTCCATGCTTCACGTCATCACACATCTCTCTAACACTCCATCACCTCCTCGTCGTCGTGGTCGTCCTCTTCCCCTCTTCGCTCTCCCCATACCCATGAATCTACAATCCCGTCAGCAATCCATCTTCCCTACACGAAAAACGAAAACCGAAAAACCTACACTCTCCGCCAACCCCACCCACTCCTCCAAACCCCTACAATAAACATCTTCCCTCCTATCCGGTACCATCTCATGTCCCCAAACCACAATTTCTTCAAATTTTCCTATCTCTTCCATTTCTCTCATTTCCGCTCCCTCCTCACCTGCCCCGTCTCCCTCTTCTTCGGTTTGCTTGGAAGGTATCGTTGTCCCCGTCGTCGTCACCACCACTCCCGTGTAATTTTTTGGGACGGGGAGGGTTTGAGATAGGAGTTTGCGGCCTCGGAATGCGCTGGTCGAGTTGGGGGTCCAGTGCCGGGGAGATATTGGTATGGGGCCGTTGTGGTTTATGCGGGCGGGGAGGAGGTTGGGGGTTAGGGATGTTGAGGGGGAGGTGGAAGAGGGGAGGGCGAGGATTGGGGCTGCTGGCATTATTGGTTTTTTTGGTGGGAGGGTTTGGTGGGAGGTTTTAGTGGGAGGGTTTGAGGGTGTGTGGTATGTGTGTGGTGAGGTCGTACTGTGCTGTGCTGTCGCGTGGGAGACGCGTCGATGGGATTTGATTTGATGTGTTTCGTCAATGTTTCATTGAACGGGACGTCAAATTGTCTTGGCCGGATGCAGATCTCTAATTAGAAGATTACCTAGTACCTAGTCGTAGTCTAGTAGAGCTATGTAACTTCACCTCGTCTATCTGGTCTTTTTCTCCTCCACCGTGATAGGCTATAGATAGCCATTAAAGGGACTCACGGATTCACAAATGTGCATTACAAGTCTGCCAACTATCGCGGATTACACCGATCTTTCCGACCCTCGCCGTACTCTACCGCGAAGGCCATATAGTAATGCGAGTACAACCTTGCGATCCGCGACTAGGAACATGGGCTCCAAAGGTTATTCGACTTCAAATTATTAGAATGCGCTGTGGATTGCCGTGCAAGCAATCCAAGGATCACAAAGCGGACGCTCGTGGGTTACTGTAGTTGGTTGATATACGGACGTAGCATAACTCACGAGCGTGCTCCCCCTAGTCACCTAACCTTCGCGAATAAGTGTTCATGATGGATGTCTTCACGGTCCAGACAGCGGTCACGAGTGGCGATTTGAACTCTTCCTGGACGACCGATTTAGTGAGCCAGTCAATTTGTGACACGAGGTCTCGAGCGGTACTGTTGTTTTTGTTTTAGCCCGACAATCCAAGGTTTCGTCAGTCACTCCACACCCGCGAGCTAGGCCAGATATCCCTTGATGAGGCGCTAGCCACCGGGACCTACGCTCAAGGAATTGAACCTTCATACCACGCCACTCACCCATGTCTACCCACAGGGCGGCACTCGTAGCTTGCGAAGTGAACAAGGTCGTCTGAGCCAGGTGCGCTTTGGTGGAGAATCTTAGATAACTACGTCTCGAAGTGCCGTCGACAGCTACCAACAGGCGGCCTCTATGTGTGCCTTGCCGATGGCACCTTCATCTGTAACGCGAAGGTAGTGTGATACGGCCACTGAATGTGCAGAGCTACGGGCTATGCCCATAGATGGTCAAAGTGTGGGTCAGCGTCTTTTCATGTTCTGCTTTGTCGTTTGGTCATCTGCGTTTCATGCACGAGACTTGGTCGTTTGCACTGATTTTCGCCTACCCATTGATCGTCGTCTCTCAGATCCCTGTCGACATCCTCAGAGCGAGATCATGCAGCAAGCTTGCAAAGGAACACGCTGAGCTCTTCCAGAAGTCCCGCCGATGAGCTCGCAGAGAAGGAAAGAGGTGCTCCTGGACCAGACTCCATATCAAATATTACAATGTCTTCCTGGGTGACACGAAGCTGTCCACTTCTGGCAACGCCAACACCAGCTTTGACGACAAGAATATCTGGCCTTCTGCCGACAGCAAATTCGTCATCGTCTTCCAGCTTACAAAGCCGGGAATCAATCGCATGGACACTCTCGTCGAGTCCAGCCTCCCAGAACAGCTTCTGCCCAAACTTCATGTCAATGACTGCGGTAAGCCCGGGAACAACCTTGACCTGGTCATCGCGTTCACCAGTCCCATGAAGATCGCAGCTGCAAAGAAGCCATGCGTAATCGCCCATGCGAGCAAACGATCGACCGTGTCTTCAAGGTTGACGAGGTTCTCTGACGAGCTCGAGCGATATGCAGCCCACATGCCTCGCTCTTGCTAGCACGACACGCGGTGGATGGTGCTGGCCAGGTGCATGTCACACCGATTCGATCAGATCGAGTGGTGTTGCGCAGCATTACGCCATGGCGCTGATGCTGGTGAATGCAGTGGGCCTTCTGGCTTCCAGATGCCGGGAAAGTGGGTCGGTATAACAGGTAAACGTAGCTCTGCAGCTGTGAATCCAAAGTGGCGTTGTGACTTTGCACTTGAGAACAATTGCTGAGAGATCTGTTCAGGTATGTTGGCCTCTACAGCTTGGTTAGTAGCCTCATCTTCCGATACGCCACTTGATCACCATGAACGCCACCAGACGATGTCCGATGACGAGCCCTAGTAAGATGCCACAAGCAGTTGCCAGAAATTTCTTGACGCCGTAGAGAGTCGGTACATCCTTGCCAGACAGTGCGGTGCAGCTTGTCAGATCGATTGTTTCTGCCTGGCAATCAAATACCGCATCACGCATGCTGAAACCTGCACTTCCCACTTGGCTGGGCTGATATGGTCAAGGGGATCGATCCATGCCGGAAGATTAATCGATAATGTCCCACGTAGAGACATGCTAAGGCAGAGCAAAGCGGCCATGATAGCAATGGCTAGTCCGTCATGGTTGATAAAGCTCAATAATATGGGACCGACGCTTTCTACGCAAGAGACAACGCTGAGCGTCGTATGCGCTGTCGAAAAGAAGAACTCTGGGGTGCGTGGCAGTCCAGTGATCAGAAGCCATGCCGAGTAAAGTAATAAGCAGACAGTGACTTGAATGATGATCCCAATGTGATTTTGTACTGCGCTGAAGAAACTTCTGTGCTGCTTGCGCCATCGAAGCTTGGCAGAAGAGTCTCAATCTGCTTTTGGATTGATCAGTATCCTGCCCGATATGCGTAAAGAATAACGCTAGTAGAATGGCCAGGCTCCTCATCTGCATCACTCTTTTAATTAAAACTCACAGCGAGCGGCGGTAGTTTAGCATAGTTCGCCAAAGCATGACTGGCTCAGGGGCAAGAGGAGGATTGAAGTTGGTATGCGACCTGTTTTTCTTTTCTTTTTTTTTTGCTTTGCAGCGAGTAGGTCCATGATGAAGTCCAAATAATTCACGTGCTCCGGCGTAGGATAGCCAATGGTATCACGATACGCCAAGCACTTGACTGTTGATCCAGAACGAAGTACTGATCCACGAGGCATAATGACACAAAGATCGAGCAGCGAACTGACCTCTGACCTTGGCTGATGAACTGACGCTTGATTAGCCTCAATAATTGTATTCTATGGTAAGGGGAAGATATTACCTGTCATGACTATGGCCTTTCCCGCGTCGGCCATCTCTCTGAGGACTCTGACGATGCCCCAGGCCGCCTTGACATCTAGACATTCGCCTCACGCCCTCCTGACTTCCATCGCCCGAGGCAGAAGTGTGCACCAGACAAGAGAACAAGGCATTGTGGAGCACAGAGTATGTCTCAGCATTGTCCGACCAAAGTCAAGCTCATTGCACAAGCAACCAGCCACGTCCCGCAATGGTGTAGCGATCAGCCTATGCTGTATCATGCACGGCGATACTCACCATCATCGACCACCAGAGGTCCAGTAAGAGGTCAGGAGTGGTGCAAGTTGGTACAGCAGAGTGATGTTGATGAACTTGAACGACGCCTTGTTGTCGTTGCCGAATTGGGCCCACAAAGGCTGCTTTGACCAATCGGATCATTCGAAGAAACTCTGAGATCTTGGCAGTGAAGTGTATCCACCCCTGCTCGTACCGACTTGCACAACCTCTTCTTCCTCCTCCTCCTCCAACCCCTGCGTAAAGAATGCACATACAACGTACAAGTCACTCCTTCATGATACGTCGTGGCTCAGGCTGCTCATGTCCCAGGATGCATGATGGACGATTCTCGCGCCCCGAGTGAATGGAAAACCCTCGAGCTGCACGTCTCATTGACCCTTCCTGTACTTCGACGCCCGCAAACATGTTTGCAGTATCGTACAATCCTTTTCGGTGATTCCCGGCGTGTAAAAGCCATCGTCACACCGGCGCCTCCTCAGCGGGGATTAACGTCGATGATGGCAGTGTGCGCCCGTAAGTTATTCAGTGCTTTGCTGCTGATAAGTACAATAGAGCCCCAGTCTGATTCAAACCACGTTGACACTCCTTTGCCTACGACCTTGACGATGGCATTTCAATTGCCTCGTGATGAAGCACACCAACGAGCCGTTGCACATGTGGCGGCAAAAGTCCGCACGTTCTACGACAACAAAACTGCCTTCCGAATCTATCATGGCTCTACAAATAGCACCAGGAAGTCTTCCCGAAATCATGATAATATCATTGACATCAGTCCTCTGAATCGGGTTCTTGGCGTCGAAGTCTCCAGAGACTCCAAAATTGCATTCGTTGGGCCAAATGTGCCAATGGACAAACTGGTCGCGGAAACACTCAAAATGGGCCTGATACCTCCTGTGGTGATGGAGTTTCCGGGTATCACAGCAGGAGGTGGTTTCGCTGGAACAAGTGGGGAAAGCAGCTCTTTTCGACACGGATTATTTGATCGAACGGTGGTCGCCATTGAAATCGTGTTGGGCAACGGCGATGTTGTAATCGCATCACCCGATGATCCATCGACCGTGGAGCTGTTTCATGCTGCTGCTGCATCTTTCGGAACAATGGGTGTGGTCACACTTCTAGCACTGGAGCTTATCGATGCCAAACCATTTGTCGAGCTCATATATGAACGGATAACTGGGGTCGATGACGCTGTCGTACGAATTAAGGAGCTTTCCGAAGGAGATACATTGGACTACCTTGACGGGATTCTGTTCGCCCGAGATCGTGGTGTACTGTGTTGCGGCAAGCTGGTTGATATTGTTCCCTCGCATTGCAAGCTACGCACTTTCTCCAGACCTTGGGACGACTGGTTCTACATCAATGCAGAACGACTTCTTGAGCAGCAAGAGCAGTGCGTCTGGACCGAATATGTGCCTATCCAGGACTATCTGTTTCGATACGAACGAGGTGCATTCTGGATCAGCAAGTACACATACAAGTACTTCGCTGTGCCCCTGAATCGCTTCACCAGATGGCTTCTAGACACTTATACGCATACTCGAATCATGTACAGTGCACTACATCACAGTGGTCTCTCGTCCACGTATGTCATCCAAGATGTCTCCGTGCCTCTTGACAGCGCTTCGAAGCTTGTGTCTTATCTTGACGAAAACTTCAGAAACTACCCTCTCTGGCTATGTCCCATAAGACTTCGCGGCAAATCAGCAAACTCGGCATATGGTCTTCTGGCAGACCCTCCCTCGCCAGTGTCTGGCACAGCCCATGCTCAAGACGTTCCCCCGTCACAAAAGCCAGAAATGATGCTGAACTTTGGTGTATGGGGTCCAGGGCCACCAAAATACGAAGATGCCGTCGCTTGGAATCGGGCGTTCGAGGCTGAGATCCATACTCTTGGTGGTCAGAAATGGCTCTATGCCCAAACATACTATACAGAGCAGGAATTCTGGAACAGCTATGGCGATCGAAAGCGGTACGATATGACCAGACAGAAGTATCATGCAACTTCCTTGCCGAGCATTTACGAGAAAGTGAAGGCTTGCGAATCCAGTGCTGCAAGCAATGTCCGTGATCGAAGCTTGTGGAACCAGTTGGTTGAAATGCTTTGGAGTGTATGGCCACTGGCTGGATTATACGGATGGCTGATGTGTATCATCGGTTCAGAGTACTTGCTGCCTCGGAGGCCGCCCTTCGTGAGTACTCTGCAGCCAGCACAATCGAAGGGAGAGATTGGAAGTCGCACGGAGAAGAATATTACTATAGACTAGATGTAATGAGAGACGGGCCTCCTCCTCTGTAGGTTTGTCTGAACCCACACGCGCAGGAAGACTAAGCCCTCATGGAACCATACCAGGACCGCAATTTGGCGTCACGTGGAACGTAATTTCTACCACATCGAATATAGCGCGGTATCTATCTTCGAGAGACGTGAAGAAAGTTAAGCGGCACGGTCGGTGTTTCTATAGCAGATATACATAGGCACATGCATACCGTTCTCGAATCCAGCAGCAGAGCACTCCCAACTTTCTCCTCCAACATGCCTCGCACAAAAGATAGTCATATCGACCAGAAAAGCGTCGTGAAAGCCAGGCCGGAAACGTTCCAAGCAGTCTCAACCTGGAAAATTCTTACGGTGTGATCATCCCAGGTACCGGGTATCTTTCTCGAGACGAAAAGACCTTAGAGACCTGCACTTAGAATGCCGAGATGGAATCGATAACCGGACTTGGACCGGATCCATTCAATTGCTATAATTAGAACTATCGTTTAACTAATACCGAAGCCATAAGGTTCAGCTAATTGAAACAGTGTCTACGCTGAGATAGGACCTCACGGAACCCTGGCAACGACCAATGGCAATGCAAAACATAGTTCTACCGGGCCATAAGGAAAGCCAGCACTCCGTGAACTCTATCCAACTACCACGCGGCACATGTCTTTACCGTTGTTGGTGGCGAATTGCCTTATCCTCGTGGGCCATCAAGGAAATCTGTTCAGCCTTGGTGGAACTGTAACCACCCCAGTGTGCGAGATCAACTTGATCAGGCGGTTGTTTCTAAGGAAGATGAAGATGAGATTGAAGGTAATTTTGGCAGCTATGGGAGTCATAGCGGTGAGGAGATCGATTTCACTACTGCATTGCATTGGTACGCACTATTTACTGTCGAGGTATAAAATTGAAGCGACGTATAGAAACAATAAGTTATTAGCCGCAAAAACAAAAATCTTTCCACAGACTTCGCGACTTCAACAAAATCATATTCATGCTGAGACAAATCACACAAAACGCATCACCCAAAAAGCGTCTCCAAGTGCATCTCCATCATCACATCGATCCAGTGCACAGGATATTCCGGATCGGCAGCCATATCCGCCAGCATATCTGCACGCGTCCAGACTTCCTGCACCAACTTAGCCAAACGCTTAAAAGGGGCCAACCCAATCTGTCGCGAAGTATGCAAAATCTGCTGTCGAGAGTTTTCGCGCCATGAATCTACGTTCGAGCGCGAGCGTCTCATGCGTGTCAGGTCGCCTTTCGAGGGAGCTTGGTATGCTTGCAAGGCGGAACCGGCGCTGATGAGAGGAATGCAGAGGACTGTGTAGACGCCGGAGGATCGAGGCATGTCGGATATGATTGTGATGATGCTGGTTGCGAGGTCGAAGGCTAGGTCATCCGCGTCGCTTTGGACCTTCATAGGGTTCATCGTGATGTTGTCGGGGTCGGGTTGCTGTGCGAGCAATGGGAAGGCGCGGTAAAGTTCCAGCAAGGCTGTGAAGCGATACACATTCGTGACTTCGCAGAGATGGCTGATTGGGGTATTGGGATCGCCGGTGTCTTCGATGGAAGCCATGGGAGGAAGCTCGTATTCTGTGATTTTGTCGTGGAGATCGCTGGCATCTTGGATCAGCTCCAGATCAAGATTGTCCTTTGCTTCGGCGCCGCGTCTGATCAGGGCGAGCTTCTCTAGCACTCGTTTCTGGCGCAATAAAACCCCGACTTGCGCTGTCAAGATGAACATGGGCGTGGAGACTCCAGTCCAGGAATGCGGATAGACGATCTGCCCTTCGGCCAAGGTACAAAAAGGCAGGAGATAGTGAATCGCTCCCACGGGTTGGTCGCAAATGAAGGAGGCGAGACACTCCCAGTACGCCATGGAGCCCACTATGAAGTTCTGTTCCCTGGTCAGGACTTTCACGCGGCCATTGTGATCGCAAATCTGTTGCTCCTGGCACCATGCTCTGAAAAGAAGGCGAGCACCACGGAGGTGTGACATGCCATTTGCAGACGGATCATGCCAAGCCGATGTCATTCCCAACATGATGGTGCCGAGTAGAGTTTGATAAGTCGTCGCTCCTCCATTGACGCTATCGAATGGGAGAAGACCGCTCATTTGGAGTTGTAGGCTCTCCATAGCTTCCGTCTGATATGAGATTGCCGTCAACGCCATCTCCTTGTCATAGTTTGCCATATGCGCAGCAGCCATGCCCATCATACAATTGAAAACATATGGCGAGCTGTGAAGGGCGTCTGGAATATCTGTGCGATAAGGATTCTGGGTAGAGTCGAAGCAGCTCATCACTCTGCAGACGGTTTCGAAGTAGTGTGGAAAGAGTCTGTCGACTGCTCGATCTTCACTGCTTGGCACAAAATCGTTCCACAAGGAGAGATATTGCTGCAAGCCAGGCGAAGAGACCAAAGCGCTCTCGAATGACGGAGATCGAAACGCTTCCTCGTCGTCGTCGTCGTAGTCTGAGTCCTGCATAACGTCTTGATCGTCAGCCAGTTGACGGTCCCCTTGCCTACTGGTGGCATGTGCTTGGCTTGGCTCACACAGCTGAGATTCGGGCATGTCATGTTGAATTGGTGAATGCAAAGCAATTGAATGCTGGTCATAGCCGCTGCTACAATTTAAGAGTGCATCCTCTGCCCCAGCGTCTTGTGGGTTGGTATCGGCACGACTAGAGCTGGATGACGGTCGTCGCTCGACCCATGGAGTCTTGACAAGAGCTTCATCATCCGACAGTGTGCTTGGGCCCAGATAACACTCATGTGCGTTGCGAGCGCCTGGACTCTCTTCGTCGGACAGTGAGCCCAGGGTGGCCCGCCGACTGCCTATTGCTTGAATTACTTCCTGGAATTGTTGGCGTAACAGCGATGATGTTCGCTCCGCTGCTGCTGCCGACTTGGTCCTCGGCCTAGGAGTCTTGAACTTCTCGTACTTGGTCGACCATTTGAGCTCACGCGTATATCCCGGACATTCGACCTTTCGATGAGCGCAGTTCCAGCATGAGGGGAGGTGTTCATCGCACTTCATCCGCTTTCGTTTACATTCGCCACAACCATTCCGGCTCTTGGAAATCTTCGCTCTGCTAGTCATCGGCTCGCTCATGTTGCCTGAGTTGTTATTGCATGTTCGACGGTGTGTATCAGTCTTAAGACCGACACGTAAGGAGTATAAATGCCGTACTGCTATCTCCTCCTCGGGCGCTCGATGTAACTATCTTCCTTGTACCCGCATGTGTCTCTAAACAACCCTCTCTCGGCTTATCCACGGCGGAGCCTGATCCTCGAAGCCGATGTTATTGTTATGAAGGTCTTGTTACAGAGTCTGTACATAGGAGGGCTATCGCCTTGGGCGTCAAGCGTAAAGGCGAGGCTGCAATTGGCTTAGACCCTTGCTGGCTGAAAGAGGGGGAAAATTGATAGCCTTCCGATGGGGTCAGACGGTGTATGGTGGTCGTGTTGCTAAGAGGCCATTTGCTTGCTAGGGAAAAGTGGGTCTATCTGTAGGTGAAGGTTCGAAGAAGCTGCTGATTGGAGGCAGCCTAGTGCGCACCTTCCACAATCTACTATCACTTTTTCACTTTCTTTTCGATTTAGGCTGGCGGCTGGGAAAAGTCTTCATCGAAGAGCCTAAGGACAGATGTTGCTTGCAGCGCGGCTATCCTATCCTTATGCACCTACAGAAAAGCTTGAATAGCATAACAACTACGCATTTCTTGTTGGAATCGCACCTAGGAACGAATGCGATGAATATATTTACTCATATATTTGAAGGCGTATTGTGCAGCTATGCGAATAGGTCGCGTCTAGATTGCCTCTGTTACGATACTACTGCTGCCGTTTACTGCTAACGAAACATACGATAAGGACCGCTAGAACTAGCCGCTCTCCGACCTAGGTATAAAAGTATGTCAACTAAGACAAGGGTATAGATCGTGCGACTACGGCGGCTAGGCTTGCAACGGCGCTTGCCTACTTCTATACCATCTATGGTTGTTTCTAGCCTAAATATAGATCCAACATAAAGCCTTGTTATCGCATGGTATAGGCCTGCAAATGAGGAGTTGTCTGCTAAGCAGAACGAGGGCATAAACTAGGCCTTATCTGCACTTCTCCACCCTTCAAGTCTTTACTATACGACTGCACGATGCTACAGTATCCTCCTAAAGGGGAAGGGGAGGGCTAGCTAGCTAGCTGCAGAGTTAGATATGCTATAGATTGCTTGGCACGCAATCTAAGCATTGCGAAGCGGTCGCTCGTAGGATAGAATAATGCCTAGATGCCTAGAGATAGAGTTATATAATAAAACATTTGAAATCCGACTAATTGTAGAGCGCTAAGAAATCGACGTCGCTAGTCTATACACCGTCTTTTTATGTAAGATTCGTAGATAAACAACAATAGGGGTTATTTAGGCTAGCCGTAGATCTAATAGTCCGATCTTGAAGTTGCGTATTATGCCTACCTAGAGATGTCTATCTATGAGCTACAAATCCAATCAAGCCTACAGACTTGCATGTTTACTCTAGTATACTCGAGGAGCCGCTATAGATCAGTTCCAGGTATATGGAAGAATAGCCTAAGGTATCTAGAGCTAGGCTACTCTGCGGCTATTTGAGGCCCCGTGCCAGGCGACGCCATATGTTGGTCCGTCTACGGTTCACTGTCGTCTATTGAGTATATTTTGTATTTGCTCGAGAATCTATATAGCCTCCTATCTCTACGCCTGCTTGCCTTCGACTTGCGTTCAGCTGGGAAGGGGCTGAAACGGAGAGAGCCTACAGATCGTCTTGTGCATATGCGAAGCCGAGACAAGACTGGATGGTAATCCATGCCCGTTGCCTCCGAGATTCTTTCGCAAGCAAGGGACGGACCTGTATACGAACCGCAGAAAATTTGCCTCGATTAAGTAAACGGAAGGAAGGTCTAGAAAGCGCTTCCCGTAGGCACAAGACGCTCCGTAGAGCAAGGATCAGAAAACTTGCCTCGATCAAGTAAACGGGAGAGAAGCGCTAGAAAGCCGCTTCCTGTACTGTATGCAGAAGTCTGCAGAGCAAGGATGGGAACCACCAGCATTACTGTAGCATCCATAGGGCGATCCGACCCGCTATCCAGGTTTGAGCATCTTACAGTAGCTTCCGAGTACTCACTCCGACTCTGCATTACGTGCTGGAAGAAGCTCTCGCCCCTGTGATGACTGTAATGATCAGGCTATACTTCTCTATAAATAGTTATTAGCCATTTGATATACGATCTCGAGGAAGCTTACCCTCGCAAGTACTACGCTGCAACTGTAGCCATTAGCTTCTGCCTGCTCTATAGCAAGGAGTCCACGCGAGTCATTGGTGTCGGGCCTTGCCCCGTGGCTTATCAGAGAGGTCGGCGTCCTCAACGGCATATCTAGGCAACATGTAAGCAAGGAGATCCATAGGATGGAGCGCTGAAGTGTTCTTAGGCAAGCGCTGGTGGACTATCTTACCCTAACGGTCTGTTGATATCCCAAGCTTTCTCAAATAACAGCTAAAGTACTGCTGTATTCTTGATCAAAGTAGCTTTCTTCACCTCGTAGTGCGAGGTGTCGATGTCCTCGAACAACAGATATGCTACTATATCCTAATGCTGATGTTCCATTGCCAACAAAAGAGCACGCCCAGTACGGATACTGCTCTGGCGTTGTGCGAGGCGGCGGAGCACCGCAAGTGCTTCTATTACGAGAGGGAGGTTCCCTTCTTGTGAGGCATCTTCGATACTCTGAACAAGTGATGATGCGTTCGGAGGGAATTCGTAGGTGTGGGTTACAGTTGCGTCGAAGTCGAAAGCATCCAATGAAATGATGGCGGTGAACACGATGCCAATGCCGCATCAAGGTCCAGGTCCAGGTCCAGATCCAGTAGAAGCATTGCGTGCAAGAAAGACGGAAGGATGAAGGTGAAGGTGGAGCTAGAGGGTGGAAGTTACTGTAGCTCCCTCTTTTGTGGTATTCAAAAGTCCATGCTGTTGGGGTCCTCATCCTGAGCTGATAAATCGATTGTGGGATGCAAAGCAACGTCTGGATGAGCGCTGTCCGACGATGAAATTCTTTCTGCAGGTCTCTCGGGCGGGTATCCGATATAAATCGTCGTCGCCCGTTCCTAGTTATCGAAGAGTGACGAAGAGTGGGACCTAGGGATGAGTGAGGTATAGATTCTGCCACGACAGTGATAGAATACAGACTACCCAGGATCCGAAGCAATATCCAATCAATACACGCGCTCATCTAAGATCTTCGTTAGCGACCCGCAAATAGTCCAGCCCGGCTGCGAGGGGCTGCAGGCTGGCTTGGGTAATAAAGGAGGCAAGGAGGCAAGGAGGATGCAAGTCTCAAAGAAACGATGGCCGACGATGTGCAAGGGGCTGGGTTTCCTCCTGCAATTCGTTCCATAGCGGAGTTCCTGGCACTCGACGACAGACCTGCTGCCATCTTCCCTCCCACTCCTACCCTCCACCATCCAGGGCGATCTTCAACATGGGCTTCCGATAGCCTACAAGAACCCAGCATTTGACCAGACTACTACTTCCGACCTTGCCGACCTGAGCGAAGCCTTGCGAGCCACTGTTCCAAGTCAACGAGGACAGTGGCATGGAGTATGGCTGGACGGGAAGAGATGGCAGCTACGGGTGTCGGGCGAATACTGCACAGCGATTGCACAAGGCCAAGGAAACAAGACTTGGGCGGAGGGTGGAGATTCCGTAGCTAGTGGGCATACCGACAAGTCACCTTTCGACTGGATAGGCGAAGAACCCGCCAACGTCTCTCCATGGATCAAATTCGTTCGAGACTTCGACTGGGCACTTACCCCAGTCGGACCAATGCAACAATGGCCGCCGCTCTTGAAGATGTATGTTTTGAGTATCATGGCCAATCCCAACCCCAGACTCATAGTCTGGGGGAAGGAGATGACATTCATCTACAATGAGCCTTGCGTTCCACTATGGGGCGCAAAGCATCCAGATGCGCTTGGCAAGAGTGTGAAGGGAATCTTCGCGGAAGCGTGGGACAACATTGGATGTGTCATCGAGAACGCCTATGCTGGTATCACGACACGCATCGACGAGTTCGAGTTACCGATCCAGTGTCAAGGCTTTCTCGAGGAGTTATACTGGAATTTCACGTTGCTGCCAGTGTATGAGGAGCTTGGTAAAGTCGTTGGGACGTACGATGAGCTCACCGAGTCTACGACAGCAGTGGTGTCCGAGCGTCGAAGAGGCGAGATCAACGACGTGAGCAAATCGCTGCGTTCTGCCCCGACGCTTCCGGATCTCTGGCCTGCTGTGCTTGGTAGCATTCGATCTGCAGAGGTGCCATTCGCACTGGTATATGCCGTGGTAGACGACGTTCCCGAGAAGTCTAAGCCTTCCGAGAGCAATTCCTCCGGGTCATCTTCCACAGTGCATCCAAAGAAGTGCCTACTCTATGGTTCTGTCGGCATCTCGGATGACTATCAGGACAAAGTTGACCCCTTTCCGCTAAATGAACAGAACGACTACAATGATAGCATCGTGCAAGCCTGCCTCAAGGCTTGGAAGACGAAGCGCAACGTGGCGCTCTCGTCCCAGGATGACACCTTGCCTGCGTCGCTCATATCCGCAGTGGCCACGTCAAGGTTTGGCACCCCTGTTAGAATGGGCATTGCCAGCCCGATCAACTCCATATCTGGGACCGATGTGCTTGCCTATGGTGTATGGGATGAGTCCGCTGTGTTCGTTCACCCCTGAGTACGAGCTCTTCTGCAATGTTGTTTGAGAAGAATGCCGCTCTGATACTTGTCCCTGCCCGAGGAGCAACAACGAGCTCAGAAACTCGCCGACGACATCAACAGCGCTCTAGCCCAGCAGCTCCGCATGACGACGTTGAAAGCCGAGAAAAGCGAGGCCAAGTTGGCAAGGCTGGCAGGAGCGGCACCTACTGGAATGTTTATGTTCGATGTCTCTGGACGAGCCCTCTACGTGAATGACACCTACTTGGAAATGCTTGGCATGACCCGAGAGGAGCACGCGCAAAAGCCAGATGTTGTAGATAAGCGGTAAACCGATAGAATTGCTTGCTATTTGAACAAAGGACTCACTAGCTACTTATATACCCGAGCGCCAAGAATCACAAGCTATTACCAAGCCGTAAGTGAATAATCCCGAAGATTGCTTCTCTTTCTCTTGCTTATAAATCCAACTACCCTCGTACATTCTCGAGTATAAGGGGCATCCATGGCACGAGCAGATACACACCGTCGAATACCGCATGAAAAAGCCGCGGCAGTCGACGGATAAGAAGTCCGGCCAGGAGATATCGGACGAGACGTGGCTCCTGGCAAGCTATCAAAAGCCAACAGGAAAGCACCATAGCATCACGTTCATACCAGCTCGTCATAGCCGTCCAGCGCGGACGCCCCGATCAGAGCTCGAGAATGGCCCAGACATATACTTGCAGATGGCGGTGTATGACACTGGCAAGGGCCTGAATGAGGATGAAATGAAGGTGCTATTTCCAAGGTTTGAACAAGCAGGCCCGAAGATCTCTATATGTGAGTTATCAGCGAGCGACTTTTGGGGCGAATAATGCTAATACATGACAGACAACATGGTGGCAGCGGCCTTGGCCTCTTCATCTCGCGCGAGCTGTGTGAACTTCAAGGCGGCCAGATTGGAGTTGCAAGCACAGAAGGCAAGACAGTATTCACCTTTTTCATCAGAGCCAAAAGATGGACTGAGCAGACTTCGTCCACGTCCCAAAGACCTAGTCCAGTGCGGTTCACCAGTGCTTCGGCCAGCCCAGTCGTGTACAGTCGCCGGGGTAGCTTGCTTCTCGAGCAACCAACCGATCCCCAAATATCGACACACCGCAGACAAAGTGGCTCCATCGTTGAAGACTTCCACCCTCTCAGCCGACGAGTGAGCAAACGGCAGCCAGCAGCAGCGTCACCAGCAGCTTCTCCCAACAACACAGAAAAAATGGAACCAAACGACAGCCTGCAGAAAGACCAGCTCCACGTCCTCATCGTCGAGGACAACACGATCAATCAGAAAGTAATGAGCCAACAACTCCGACGGGCAGGTTGTATCGTCCACGTTGCAAATCATGGCCTAGAGTGCCTTCAGTTTTTGGACCAGTCCCATTTCTGCTCCGCAGACACGCCCCTATCGATCATCCTTTTAGACCTGGAAATGCCGACCATGAATGGTCTTACTTGCATCCGACACATCCGAGAACGACAGAACAACGGGAAGATTGTCAGTCACGTTCCCGTCATCGCCGTCACGGCCAATGCACGTTCGGAGCAGATCTCTACTGCCATTGAAGCAGGCATGGATCGAGTTGTGACCAAACCTTTCCGAATCCCGGAGCTTGTTCCTCAGATGCATGGTCTGGCTGCGGAATTTTCTGCTGTGGAAGCAGATGGCGGTTGAGATTTTCGCATATCACAACTTTGCTCTACGAAGGCCGAGAACTTGCGTACTCCTGGTCCCAAAGCGCCAGGCGTAAAGCGATAACCAGTGGCCATGGTACGCACATGGTTGTTGAAAGTGCCAGCGCATTCGGTCTGTGAGGATGAAACAACTCCATGATCGCCGAAAGCACCTGGGCAAGTCAGCAGACTTCGAATGGGAACTGCACTCCCCGAACCTCATCCCCCCCACCGATGTATTTGCCCAAAAGTTAGGGGAGTGTATTTTTTAGGAGCGTAGGATTAGGGCTAGAATAAGTCTTAGGAAGCGAATTAATATGAGGAGTTGCGTAGAGTATCCTAATAGATAGTAAATAGGTAAAGTATTCTTATTAGTATTTAAGGCTAGCGAATGCGTTTTCTAATACTATTATAGTTGTATCTAAGAAAGAATTTCAGTTAAGCAAAGCTTTTATTAGCCTAAGGGTACTTCCATAGTCGATTAAGACTAAGCCTTGTCTATGCCTCTAGACTTTAATCCTCTAAGAGGACGTAGGAGGTACTTGCTCTATAAAGTTCGAAGTTGACTCGTATATAGAGGCCTCTCTAACTGAACTCTTATAGTCTCACTTCTAGTAAGACGTAAGCTACTTATCCTGCTGCCCACCAACGTAGTAAACCCCTTCCAAACTCACCAAACCACAACCCTCTCCATATCCTCCTCACCCCCCCTCCCAAACGGATCCGTCCTCTCCACTTCCAAAATTCGCTCCCGATCCTTCTCCGTCCGAGGCATAATCCTCGCTTGAAAAGCTGCCGGGTGACTCACGAAACCCGGCTCCGGATCGAAATTCGGATCTTGATCGTCCAAGGGGGGCAGAATCTCGAAAACAGCAAGCGCTCGAGCGATTGTGAGGAAGACGCTGGAATCTGCGAGCAGTTTACCGGGACATATACGTCTTCCGAAACCGAAGATGAAGGTGCGTGGATCCATTTCGGGGGGATCGCCGAGGAAGCGGTTGGGGTTGAAGGTCGTGGGGTCGTGGTAGATGGAGGGGTCGTGGGCGAAGGCCCTGGGGAAGGAAGTAAGTATAGGTTGATGGAAGGGTTGATGCTATTAGAAGGCTTACCAGATATTGGGGACGAGGATGGAACCTTTGGGGATGAAATATCCTTCGAACTCGCAGTCCTCGCTGCTTAGGTGCGGGAGACCTTCGGGCACGATGGTGTGCCATCGAAAGATTTCTTTGATGACTGCTTCGGTGTATGGCAAGTTCTCACGATCAGACAGCTCGGGCAGGCGATCTTGTCCAACGACATGATCGATCTCAGCTTGCGCTTTGTTCCGAAATTCCGGGTACTTGATCATGGTGAGAAAGAAAGTCATGATAGAAGCCACAGTCTGAAGAGTGTCAGCGACGATTTGATCGATCAGTCTTCGAAGTGTGCCTACTGTATCTGCGCCACCGCCATAGAGTCCATTTGCGGCAAATTTGGCGATGTATTCATCTTCGTCACTGAGCTTTCCCTCGCCGCGCTCAAGCAATCTCGATGAGAAAGAAGTCTCATATTTCCCCGCGGCCATCTGGTATTTCACAAACGCCCAAGGTCGGCCGGAAAATTCGTTTTGTGTCCTGCTGATTTCCTTCGCGATGCGCTTGAAGCCAGTACCTGGTAGCCAATCGGGAAGATGTCTCACTGCAGAGTCCAGCATCAGAAATGCTCGAATGCATTCATTATACAGAGACACTTACGTGCTGGAAAATAGTCAACGAGCCATGCACCTGGCTGCCCAGCGACTGAGGTTTGCTCCAAAGCCTTCTCGACGATGAAGATGATTGGATCACTTCCTTCACTGTTGGTCTCGTAGCCGTAGACTGTTTTCAGCATAATGCCAGCCGCCTCACTGCAGTTTCGATGACTTTCAGCAGACTGTGTATAATCAACTGCCTCGGTTTCTTACCTCTTAATGTATTTAAGAAACTGATCGGGCTTGCGCAGAACGCGTAGGAGAAAGCGTCGAGTCTCGATGTCTTGAACAGGATTGAAGTCTGCCAGCGCGGTCTGCGTGCCCAGCAGCGCGTGTATTTGCTTGCGCATAGCTCGCAGTCGGCGATCGTACGGGATAAAACCAATGTTTTTACCCCAGCCACACCTAATTATCGTCAGCTTGAGAGGAATGATGCACATGTGAGCATGGTACATGCATTTGGGTCAAGAAAAATGGCCGTGGTCGGTCTGAGGCAATCACAGCTCGTTTTGATAGGAACTCCTCTGCCAGATTGTAGTCATGCAGTAGAATGACTGTCGTTCCAAGAGCGGTAAGAGATGTGATGGGACCGTACAGGTCTCTCTGCTTGGTGTAGTGTACCCAATTGCGACCGCCCTTAGGCGGCATATCAAGCATATTTTCAATGAGTGGCAAGCGTCTGGGGCCAGGAGGCAACTTGATGCTGACTCTGCGAACATGGTGGATTGTCAGCAGTATGAGTGCTGTGACGAAGCTCAGCCATGCTGCAAATACCGGGTGTGCGATCATGGTGAACTAGGCTTCAGCGTTTGGAATTGTGCGACTTCCAGAAATTTTTACAGAGAAGACTCTAGGGTTCAATCGTGTCATATAAGGCTTCTCTTATGGACATGCAGGGTGGAGGAGTTACGGAATCAGGAAGTGGTCAGCGTAGCACAAGAGCTCAGCTTTGGCTGACAGCCAGAAGATGATGAGTCGGAATGCATGACGCTTTCGTGGTCTTCTGCAACAATTGCTGGTCAGAGCATGGCGCCAATGCTGTCGTGTATATTGCTGATCTTACATGCTACGCACACTGCGCATTTCTTGCATGAAATATGCAGCTTAATATGGCGAGTGCCGGGTGGACCTTGTCAAGAGCCTTAAGAGCTGGCAACAGCTCCGTCCATGTGGGTCAGTGAGGCTGGAATTCTCTATCGATCATTCAGCTTGTTACCTGCGAATGCACAAAGAGTGGTTCACTGCTGCTACAGCATCCTCGCTTCCGGAGAATATTTTCCTGAGCCTCTTGGCCTGCATCTGCAGCCACACTGCTACGTATTAGACCTGCAAAAAGAAAGATTTGAAAAGGATAGGATAGATTTTGCGAGAAAGGAAAGTGTTCCTGTATTTTCGTCTTCAGCCACTTACACACGGCCGCGATCGCGGGTCTGCCACTGCTTTCTAGGATCAGAAGTCAAAGATCTCGTGAGCGTGTGACTGCTCTAATCATCGAAGAGCTTATGCTTGAGAGTGCGGCCAAGATCATCAGCGAGGTCGCCAGTGATGGTCACGAATGCCTTGAAATTCGTCCTGTCTGGTCCGTCGTCCCGAGCGAAGATGTCTTCCACGGCATCGCTGACTTTCTTGTACACTCTGTCCGCTCTCCCGCGGAAGTCGCGGCGATAGAAGGGGCAGGATGGAGGACATGTGCCATCACAGCTCAGGCCGACACATTTCAGAACTTGGACTTCTTGGCCGCGGAGATGGATTGTGATCATCTCGCCGTCAACCATGACGTAGTCGTCCGAGATCGAGTCACCTTCGGATTGCTCCAAAGGCTTCCCGGAAGGAGCAGAGGAGCTCGGTACGAGACGGCTCGTTTCGAGCGGGAAGTGATCGTGGACCATGGCTGTTGAATTAGCATTCCTGATAGACGTGGCAGGAAAGCCTGTCCCAAGCCAACGAGAAATTGGCGAGCCATCGCCGGCGGACGAGATCAGGCTGTCATGAGAGCGAGGCGGCATGGATTTCAGCTCTGTTCCCATGATGCTTTTGTCTTGTGGTTCGACAACCTGCCAAGAGGATATGTCTTCGGTTATTGACGGCTCGTGGACATCTGCTTCCATCGTGCGAGCGCTGCTCCCGGAGAATGAAAGCATAGTGGCAGTTGTGCTTCTCGAGTCGTTTCGCGGTCGTGAATAGAACTGGCATGCACCTATGTGGTCTCGAGTGCGTCGAGGCGTCTATAAGTAAGATAAATTCGAGCGCTGTGTTTTCACAATGCCTGCAGTGTGAATAGCTCGGAATTAAATCGATCTCTGACTGACTTGAGTCGATATCGTTCCGACATGCTGTGCTTATATAGAATATTCAAGCACAGCTTGCGACAAAGAACCTGCATTGTGCTCGGGCGATAATGCCATTGTGTATATTGTTTTGGAAGCAGAAAGCATTTGTACGTAGGCTTTGTTTGAATAGAGATGCCGAATATTCTCTGCATGACGCGAAGAGCCACTTGCAGCGAGCAGGTGTATCACGGCTTCGTATGCAGATGTACTACGGTCAGAGCAGGATATGATGTGAACAAGTACGTGTCGAATGGTAGTGTGTATGATATATGTCGATGATAATGGTAGAATCAACTTACGACTCTGTGAGGTTGCAAACATTTATTCCGCAGAGAAGACGCGGGAGACATGGGCGTTGATTGCTGCATGTCGTTGACGGTTGTCAGACATAGGCACAAGCTGGCACTTGCGAGACATGCGTGCCTGCGAAAGAAGTATGCATGCTCGATGGGCGAGATTCTTCGTCCGGTGTATGGACGGACATATTCTTCATGGCCGAGCTGCCGAAGTGCAGTATTGCAGGCGGGAGTCATGAGTCCAGATGCAACGCCTGCCTCAAATGCGTGTCATATGTATGGCGTCGATCGATGACGCGCAGTAGATCAAATGATCATGATACGATTCATTTGCGAGCGGGTTGCCGTGTCGTTGAAACTTGCTGTGTTGTCGACCGGACGCCGCCTCAAAGACCCGGTATACTTGGCATTGATTTCCAGGCTTGGAGGTGACCATGTCGGTGTCGTGTGGCGTTCGGAGAGTGAGATGGCAAAAGGCTGTATGCACGCACGTCGATGGATGTTGATGTAACGTTATGGAGAGGATGGAGGACGGAGGACAGAGGGAAGAGTAAAGAGAAAGCCCGGTGTTTCCCGGCTTGGCGAGAGGAGCGCACTGATCACTTCTTGGCGCTCGCGCAGTACCCCGCGGGTCTCTCTCGGTCTTAGCCGGACTTAGGGTGCACCGACGACTACCCTACCCCATCCATCTCCAACACACGCATGGCCACCAACATGTCCAACTCCAACATGGCTTCTCTGCTGGAGCTCTCCCACGAACTCCTCCACTGCATCTTCACCGAGATCGAGCTCGCCGACCTCTCTGCCTTGGCCCAGACGTGTCGAGTCCTCAACAGCTATATCAGAAGTAACCGCTTGCTCCACAAAGACCTATACACGGGACGGTATGACGAGCCAACGACATGCGAAGAGGAGCCGGACTACGAAGACCTCTTGCATCGAGCAGTCCGCCTCGAGAAGCTGTTCGACACAGAAGACGTGGAGGCGAAAAGACGACACTTGCATTTCGTCGCCCAGGAAATCCCTCGCCTAGTCGAGCGAGCAGACCTGCAGCAAGATAAGAGCAAGAACATGCAATGGCTTGAAGATGCTTTTCGGAATCCAGACAATGTGGACAGCTTTCTCTGCGCAAGCAGCTTGTTCGCGCCAGGTCGTGCTGGCGGCAACGATCAGATGGCCGCGGGTACAGAGGAGCTGAGACAGGCCAGTGCAAAGCTGCACTGCTTGTATGGTGTTCCCATCGACGTAATACCGACAAGATCCTTATCCACCATGCCGCGAAGACCCGCCGACCGCTCACCCAAGACCACTGTTTGCACCCGATCACACTCCGCCGGCAGGACCACTCACACCTACGCACGAAGCAAAGTCTACGACCTTCGCGAGTACACAGATGCCACACGGTGGGGTCCGTTCATGAAGGATGGCAGCCAAAGAGTCGACTGGGAAAAGGTCGAAGCCATCATGATCGTTCTGGGCTTCAACCTGCGGAAGTTCACAGATCGCTCAGACGGCCGCTTTCCGATCGTCTGGCGAGATCCTTGGGTAGGCGCAACACCCGGCTCCTACAAATCAGCTCCCAGAATCGGCGACCCTTCAAATCACCTCGAAGAAGAAGAAGGAGACTACAAGATCCGAGAACTTGCTCTCTCCCTCGATGCCATGGATCCTTACGGCGTGACAGGAAGCTGGATGCGAGTCGTCTGCTTCCTCGACTACAACGACCTCTACGCCTTCAATTTCAGCGAAAGAATCCCCGACTCCCAACCCAGAGAGCCGATTGACACAGAAGAAGGTTTGATTGAACTCAATGAAATCGTACGTGTCTATCCCACTAATACTTCACCAATTTAGCCATCCGACTGATTCGCATCAAGTTGCAAGTCACACGTATCGAAGCACCCGGAACGAGAAACGACGAGGACGAGACGGAAGATGACGGCGATTGGAGAAGTTTCCAGGGCGAAAGATTACCAATCGTGCACTTCCGCGGCACGAGTCGGAGTCTGCATGCGAGTTGGGATCCCAATGCCAATTCGAGGATACGAGGCAGTGTGAGGCAGACTCCCGAGGGAGAAATCAGGTGGACTACATTCTCCATCTTCCATGGTGAGGAAAGGTGGAGGAGTGAAGGTATTCAGGTTGGTGGGCTGAAGTCTGCAAGGGGCGTGCTGGGCAATTGGTTCGACAAGTGAGTCCTTCTCACCTTCAGACGTTTCCAAATACTAATTCCCGTCGCATAGGGACTACGATATGCACGGTCCCGCAGGCCCTACTGCTTTCTGGAAGGAATCCGATGAGCTGGATGAGGAGAAGAGCAGCAGTACGCCCGCACTCTATTCTGACTTCCCATCATAACGTTCTGATAGCGCGAGAGCGAATACGCTCGGCATTGATACCCTGGGCACTACGGAACTTCAATGGCTTGGTGGTTTTGGATGAGGATTAGCTGCATGCTGAAATCCGAAGCATGACACAGAAAGGGAGGAAAACCAGCATCGCTCAACAAACAGAGTCCTTCCCTTTAATGACCGACCACTTGTCCAAGAATCAAACCACAGCTTCTTCCTCCAATCTCTAGGTAGTCGTCCACCATCTCTCGTCCTCTGTCTTTTTCTTCAACAAATCCACAGCATCACAATCAATCATTTTTGACCAGGTATATAGACATGTAGTGAGGCTACAAGATTCGATGGAACTAGAAGCAGAAGCTCGAAAAAGGAGACCGACGGGAACTCATTCATTGATCAAGTCGTCTCACCACATCCACAAAACAATTCTTCACCATCCCCCACCCCAAAACCCCTCCTCCACCACAATCATCACTCACCCCGTAACACTCTCAACCAACCCCACCTTATCCGTCCAAAAAATCCCATTCTCCTTACACCCCAACCGTTTCGAATAATAACTAATCTTCAACTTCCCCTCCCTCCACTCCCCCACCTCGTTCCTCCTCCCAACCAACCCCCTCTCACAAACCCCCACCCCCCTGCCCTCCAACTTCTCAATCAAAGCCCGAAACAACCACCCCTCAGCCCCCGGAACCGGGATTAAAGGCGTAACGAAAATAATCCAACGCGTATCGTATCGGATTTCGGGGATTGCGTCGAGGAATTGTTTCGGGAGGGTGGTGAGCCAGGAGATTGTGGAGGTTTCGTCGAGGCAGCGGAAGGGGGGACTGGTTGTGTAGTAGAGGCCGATCGCTTCGGAGAAGATTTGGCGGTTGCTCCATAAGAGGTTGGGGAGGGTGTAGGTGGGTTTTATGAGGGGTGGGCCAGAGGATTCGAAGAGGGAGGTGTAGATTTTGTTGCGGAGTTCGGCGGGGAGGGTGAGGAAGGGGGAGGTTTGTTTGGAGGTTTGGAGTTGGGGATTTGGGGAAGGCACGGTGGATTTTTTGGGTTCGGATTCTTCTTCTGCTCTTGATTCGCATTTGATGTTGGTAATGCATTGCCGACGAGCTTTGGCTTGGCGGAACTCTTCAATGTCTAGACCAGCGACTATTGAGGATCGGCGACGGTTGTGCATTGGGATTTGATGGGAATGGGCTCCGATCAGTGGAGGTCCGAGTGGCGAGAAGGCGTGTATGTGGTCCATGTTGCAAGGCTGTTGATGAATCGGGGGACGAAGAGGCAATACCGGTTTAGGCAATTGCGAGGACAAAGGATAGTTTCGGGTAAGAAACAGAAGCCGATTTTGAACCCAGGGAGAATGTGCTTTGTCGTAGTAGGGCTGAACTAGGTTGCCTCGTGAGACGTGTAGGGTCTAATCGCCGTTTCGTGTCGGAGTATCAAGCTTATGGCATCAGGCTGGCATCGAGTTACGAGGGCCAGGGACCAATCGGGAAGAAGTAGGTGTCACGTGTTCTTGAGTCTTGCTGGCAATGGGTGATAAAAGATGCAAAGCAGTGTCAATGCCGCAACAGCGAAACTCCATCTTTTCATAGTATGGCCTATTTCAATGTACCTTATCTGCCGCCGGAGTCCGAGTAGTGTTTCAGTCATAGCGCTAGTCTGACGTCTTGCTCGACATTCTGACGGTGGTAGTATCTCGGAAGTAACCCGGTATCAGCTAGCATTGGCTAGCACTGCTCTGGTCCTCCGCTGACCGCCCGATGTAGGCACAGAGGGCTTCCATACGAGTGGTGTCTCAAGAATCCGGTGTGATGCCAGTAATCCCGTTGTTGGTAAAATGCGGCGAGGCTCTGTTTGAGGACTGTGCTTTGACTCCTGTGCTTCTCGTAAGCGAATGCCTCGATGTATGCCCGATTTGATGAATGTGCCTCGGAATTTTTCAGACATATTTGTGCTCCTCTTCATTTCTGAAGCTGAAATGAATCGCGGATATCCGACGAGGCTTGTAGTCTTGCATCCATTTCTCCGTCGTCGCAACGTGACGGAAAGTCATCATGCTTATCTCGAGCCGACATGCGCCAGCCAGTGCAAGAAGTGGATGCTTCGGACGACTGTACCAAAGCTGTCCATGTTCTCCAACAGGCATTCGGCCCCTTTTCTAATTCCAGGAGTGAAGGGTGTGTTAACGACTCCGCATAGGAATGATACGCTGATCATGTATCGCACGCTGTGAGTGTCTCATTGGTTCCAAGTCGCTGTGGACTTTGGCGGTAGTCTTGATGCATCGGAATGCGTGTTCGCAAAGTTCTAATATCCTAGCAGTACAATGCTCTCCAAGAAGTCCAATGATGCTTCGTTCGCACTAGCAGCGCTCTTTGCATCTCCTGGTTCCTTCAAGATCCGCCAGAGCTATGTTGCTCCAATCGCTCCCGCTTAGCTCGCAGGATCATGCTTCTCACGTCGTCCACACGCGCCTGGCTTGGCTTGAGGTGAGTGTCCAGACGTCCAGGATGTCGAGGCGGTATTGGAGGTGGTTTTGCTTTTTCGCGCTGTGCAGCGTATGTCACAGCAAGATCATCATCGTTCTCAGACTCGTTCTACGTGCCGGAGACTCCGAGGCCTATTGGTGCATCGCCATTGACCTGGCCATCTCCCTCGATTCGTAAATCTCGAGCAACTAGACCTCGAAAGTCCACCCCGACTTCGTGAAGTACGGCAGCTTTTTCAGTGACAGCAGCCATGCATTCCTTGTACATCTCGGACTGACGATCGACGGTGCTTAGCTGCCGTTGCAGCGAGTCGTTGAATTCATCGACTCGCTCCTTGGCCCATTTCACAGCGGCAGATCCGGAAGTGGGCGGAAAGGACGCGTTGAATGTTTTGAAGGTGTAGAGGACAAGAGTGAAGACCACGTACGAATATGCATGAACGTAAGGAACCAGATCTCCGGTGAAAGTAACCTGTCGTATCCGTAAGCGTATGGTGGCCGTTCGGGAAGACAAATAGGTATTTCGAGCCAGTTCTTCGTATCCAAGGCGCAGCAACCAAGATACGTTCTCCTTGGTCTTCTCCATACCACCGCTCGTGTGACTCAATTGCCTGGAGATGGAATTTGCAAGCTTTGATGCGCGTTCGTTGACCTTGGCCTGAATGATTTCCTGCGCAGTCTGATTGCCTTTGATGCCTCGAGCCATTTTGCGCAACTTCTCTGCTCTGTCTACAGCTTCCTCGAAACGCTGCAGCGCAATGTCAATGTCGAGGCCATCGATCTGTGATTCGACCCATCTGATACTTTGCGGTCGACCATCCACATCCACTAAAACAGAGTTGCTACGACTTAGCCCTCCGAAACCCTTCGACTCTTCAGCCTCCATGGCAGCTGCCGCGGCTCTCTTGAGGGACCTGGGATCACGACCTGTTAGTGCTGAGAACGTATCTACATCCTTCGTTCGGCTTGCATGTTCCGCTGCAAGCTGCTTTCGTTGATCTTCCTGCGCTTTGCGGAAAGTGACAATCAGGTTCAACTTGTCGCCTGGATCGCTAGTGGCGTATGTAAAGGACTCATTACCAGCACGGACATTGATTGCATTGGCAATATTCTTGTTCTCCCTGGAATTGCTGTGGCCGATGCTCGTGGAAGCGCGAGTAGAAATGTCAGCAAGGGACACTTCGTTCAGCTGCCAGCATCGATCGGCCACCAGGGTAGTGGTTGAAGCTTGCGGACCACCGTACATGCTCTGCCTGTTGTTCTTCTGCGGTGTCGCCTCTGCCGGCCTCTTCTTCTCGCTCGCAACAAGCAAATGGTCATTGAGCAGGACCAAGGCCACGCGTCTCCTGGGCTTCCACGTTGCGGCATTCAGCTCGACCCATCTCTGACTTTCCATCAGAATGTGTCTACCGGGAATGGCAGGCAGATACTTTTGACTGCCTTCAACGCGCTTCCACAGCGTCTGAAGATGAGTGCTCCACATGGCTTCCAGGTTCGCGACGCTGCTCCTATTCGCGCGCTTCCGGTCGGCCAGGCTGAGAGTGCTCCCGGAGTTGACGTCTGCACCGCCAGCTGACGTCGCGTGTCCCAAGGCGCCCGTCAACTCCGTCATGTATGTTTGCAGAGTGCGCATCTCGTTCTTCAGCTTATCGGCCTCTTTGGAGATCTTGATGAACTGGGTGCGGTTCTGGTAGACATTGTGCTGCAGATCAGCCTCGGTGTGCGACTTGACATTCTGCAGGTCCTTTTGGAAGGCGATGATGTCCTGCTCCGTAGCATCTCCCAGCACGGTCTGGACGTACTTCTCGGCGTTGAGACTGGGGTCCTTCAATGCGCGCATGTCCACCTGAAGCTTGCCCTTTCCTCTCTCGCGCTCCGGACTTGCGCGTCCCCTCGACGTGGCCGGACGCGCCGTATCGGGGCGTGCCATACTGCTCGCATACTGGGCCGGCATTGCGGGCATGGCCGGCATGGGAGGAGCTGGGCCATCTTGGGGCATGCCTCCTGCGAACCGCGTCGAGTATCGTCGCATGACCAGTTCGCTCGTGTCGCCGCCCAACCGCGGTCTCTCACGCGATCGGGAAGTGGTGGCGGTGTCATGCGAGCCGACGGTCCATGTGCTGTTGTTCCTGCTGACCGACGCATCGCGAGACTGCTGGATGCTGCTGGCGGAGCTGTTGATGGGCGCGGATATCTTCAGTCGCGTGGTGGCCGTCGTCTTCTTTCGCCGCAGCGATATGCCTTTGGACTCCGACATGGCGAATGCTGTTGCATATAGTATTGGTGCACCTCACTGCCCCCAATCGAGCCCAATGTGTAGGCGGAGTTGTACTCGGCATGCACAAGCTGCGAGCTGTGGAGACATGGCCTCCGTAGCCAAGCCAGATCTCCAGTCCCAGTCCCGAAGCTCCTCTCCAAACTTTCATGCACTACCTTCAACCACACCACTAATACTGACTGTGGCATACTTCAATTCATCCTAACGTCGACACCATCGTCGCGAATCGCTCACATCGTTAGTAAAACTCGCGGCTGTTGCAAACCCTCGACAACACTACCGCCATGGCCTCGACACTACCTTCATCAGGCCCATCAATCACCACCATCGCTGTGGCAGCAGCTGGCGTCGTTACAGCTGGCGCCCTCGCATACGCAGTCTACTTCGATCACCGCCGAAGAAGCGATCCCGAGTTCCGCAGATACCTCAAAAAGCAGCACAAGAAGGTCCACAAGTCAGACCTTGAAGCTTCAAAAGCCGCCGAGCACGCGCAAAAGCAAAGGATCCGCGATGTTGTCGACGACGCCAACGAGGATGGCTTCCCACGAGATCAAGACGAGACCGAGGCATACTTCATGCAGGAAGTCGCACGAGGAGAGCAGATGTGCACGGATGGAAGCGACCCCGTCGATGCCGCCCTCTGCTTTTACAAGGCTTTGAAGGTTTACCCACAACCGAGAGAATTGATCAGTATCTACGACAAGACAGTGCCAAAGGTGTGTATTGGTATGGCGAGAGAGAAGCTTTGCACCCGCTAACGATAGTCTACAGCCAATCCTCGCCATTCTCGCCGAAATGATCGCCGTCGACCCAAGCATATCCTTAACAGGCAGCTCGGGTGCTTCTGACGCCGGCAGCGACAAGGTCGAGTAGTTCTCGCGCCTGCAATCAATGTGCACACAGTGTGTGAGGCTAGCGGCAATGCAAGCGATGGTCCGCACGTGGGGGAAAGATAGTTCCGAGTCGCATATCACGGAGGAAGATGCTTTGTCGAGCCTCGACTAGGCTTGCGCACGCCTTTCGCTGAATAGTCTGGAGCGCTCAGAAGGAGAGAGCAGAGCTGCGATGATAGTGCGAAGAGCTTCTATCGTGTCTTTGATAACCAAGCATGCCTCGACAGCTCTTCGAGGCATTGTAGGAAAAGTAGGAGCATTAGATGGCGTAGACTTGGGAGAGAGGGCGCAGGCAGGCATTCTTCTGGTTCCGCTTGGCTTGCGAGAGGATCTCATCTCATGGACTGTATAAAGCGAATTGTACATTTACAGCATATTTCGATGCGCAACGACTAGAGCTCCCGACCACCCAGAAAATACTGACTACGCTTAGCCCCAGCTCTGGGTCTTGGCTCCAGCCTTGCGACACTCAATCTACAACTTTGACCTCTACCACTCCTTTTCAGCGCCTTTCAACGTCAATCCCAATTCCTCCCTAACATACGATGCTCAAATGCGCACGATTAAGAACCCAAGAACATGGAGGTCCAAAGCCAGAACATACTTACCTCCAAGTAAGACCTACCTCCAACCGCTCAACTCTCAATCATCGACCTCAGAGTGCACAACTCCTCCTCACTACTCTTTCTCTTTCTCAAAGCCCACTCGAATTTCTCCCTCAATCATTCACTTCCATTGTCTGATCCTCCTATCCCATTCTCCAGACAACGCTCGACTGTTTCCCTCGCTCTTATGTATCCAATTTGGGGGATTCCATCGAATGACGAAGACGAAAATGCTGATAGCAAAAGGAAACAAAGATTTTGTATTACCGTAGAGTTGTTTTGTTCGTTGAAGGTGAGTGCTAGATACATGAGAGAATGTGTGAAGACCGGAAGGGATTTGGATTTGGATTTGGATTTGGATTTGGATTGTCGAGGAATTGAATGGATATTCGTAGATTTCGCGAGGGGATTCTCGAAGGGGAGGTGTAGGGGAGATACTAATATTCTTTTCGGTGGACGTGAACCCAGGCCGGGTCTGCTTCTTCAACGTCGGTACGAACCTCGAGAACTCTTTCTAATTCTATCTCCATATCTGCTCAGAATGTATGGTATTGGGGTCATCAAAGCGCTGACGATTCCCAAGATCGTCAAGGTCCATTTCACGCCCAAGTGATCGAAGATCGGGATCGCAGCGACGTACATTCCCGCAGACACCAGGTACCGCACAAATGTGACGCTTGCCAAAGCACTTGCAGAATGAGGTCCATAGGCGTCGATGAGATACTGATATGAAGACATGTAGATGCAAAGCGTACTGTAGCCTAGGAAGATGCTTCCGGCTAACGGTGACCAGTAAGAGCTGGTTGGAGAAGAGGTCCAGCCGATCCAGAACATTGAAATTGGGAGGAAAGGTGCACCGTAGATTGCGAATGTCAGTCGACGTTCGGGCGGGACATGGTCGTCTCCATTGCTGACTGCCAAGGCCAGATCTGCTTTATATCGTTGGTAGACGAGCGGGATTTGGAATGCTGTAAGGATGATGCCGACTGCAGTGCCCGCGAATGCGACTCCGGTCATGCCTTGGCTGAAGCCGTACATTTCTCTGAATATGTAGTCATATCCTTGAAAGAAGACAAAGATGACCACGTATATCACGGTCAGGTACAAACTCAGGCACATCACGATAGGCTCGTTGAAAAGAAGGGCCAATGGCCGATACAGTGCAGCTCTCAGGCGCTGCCTGAAGGTGATGCGGTTGAGATCGACTTCAGCGAAGAATCGTTGGTTGCATTCGATGGTGCGAAGCCGTTTGGCACGCCATCGAAGTAGGGTCGGTGGGTGTGTTTCCGGCTGGACAAGGGTCACAGACAGCAGTATTGCGGCGGAACTTATCAATGTGACCCACTCGCACCATCTCCAGCTCAAAGTCTTTGACTCAACGATGTAGCCCCCAATGATCGGTCCTGCCGTACGGTCAGCAAGGACGAAAAGTGTGCATTGCACTGATGTGTTGCGTACCGCAAATTGGACCTGTAAAGGCGATGACCGCGAATGCCGGGAACGCCCAGGCTCGCTCCGTATGGGTCCATAGATCCGACACAGAACCACCAGCACAGCAGAGCGGTGCTGCAGCGAAGTAACCGGCAGCAGTTCGAAATACAGCTTGTGATGCCATATTGGGAGCCAGAGCAGAGGCCATGGTGAAGATCATGAATAAGGCCATCGTTGCGATGTATACAGCACTACGTCCGTACTCTTCAGAGATTGGCCCGGCGGTAAGAACTCCAAAGGACAAGCCCACGAGGAACAATGCCGTTGCTAGCGATTCAATCTTCGTTGACACGCCAAAGTCCTGAGCGGCAGGAACGAGCGCGGCTGCATCAATGCTTGACGCAACAGTGGTGATCCATGCTATGAGAGTGACATTTATGCTGTAATTGTGAGCATAAAGCGGTGCCGAATGCGGTTGTCTCAGCTTACGTCGCCAATGCTCTAAGCCTGAAGCTCCATTTCGTAGGGTCAGTATCGCTGCCAGAGGCAGCAAATGTTACCATGAATGGAGAGCTGACATCTTTTGGAACTTGTGTTCTGTGGTTCAGGTCACGACTTTTGATCATTGCGTCGTCGAATGGGCCATCCGGGCCATCCGCAATCGTTGCCTCTGCACGGCTCTCGTGTGGTGCATTTCGCAGCTCGTTGGTTACAGACTGGGATATGGCAGTATTGGAAGTAAGTCGAGCTGCTGGATTCCGGGTTTGCATTTCTCGATACTGGTGTACCGCGAACATGATGCATATATTGAGGCGCCGTGGAGGTCGCTTGCTATTGAAAATGCAGAGAAGAGAGGGCATTGAGACCTGGCCTGTACATGATCCATTCAGAGTGAGGGTGTCCTTCATACGGTGCTATAAGCCGTCTTCGTGGAAGATGGCGTGGTTCAACTGCCTCCGCCCTGAGGGCCCACGCGCGAGCAAAATACGGCCAAACCGGTGTAGGCTCCACATCTTTTGGCGTCATATTGACTCTGGAGCTCGACGCACGGGGCCAGGTCAAGGCGTGTGTGGCCGATCATGGTCAGCTCGATGTTGTACAAGAGAAGAGAAGCATCAGAAGAGTGCCACAACAAAGAAGCTGCTCACATACCCTAGGCCCAAAGAAGTTAGTGCTGCCGAGGAGCCGAAAAGGCAATTGACCGCAGCAGCCTTCACACCACCCGCCTACTCCAATGCTTCAACTTAGATGATCAGCATCAGCATCACTGCGGCTGCAGCATGATGTTGCTCTCAGCTGGATCTCGAGGACTCCGCTCGCGCCCTGACCACAGACTTCCTTCACCGAGCTCCTGCGCGCTTCCCACTGGATCCAAGGCTTCTGAATTGCTGGTCGTTGAGACTCGCTCGCTCCGGTCAGCTACTTCGATCCTCCATAATGGCCGTGAATCCACCAGGTCTTCGGAGGAGCTAGCAGCACTGCATCAAAGAGAAGGCCCTTGAGGATTTCGGTGCTCGCGCGGCTGAAGTGAGGTTGTACAACGTCAGTAAGCTTTCTTTCAGAAAGAGATTGCAGGAGCGGTAGTCAGAGTTACGGAAAAGGGACAAATGATCTATACTGGCGATGGACATTTAAGCGGGAATGAGTGACGAATACTGCTGCATAGGACTGTCGAACTCACATATGGCTTCGGGGAGTTAAAAGTGTGCGGAGCTTTCGTAAGACGCACAACTCCACCGGTCTTGTATGGCTTCGACAAGAGAATGTACTGGAAGTCGTATCGCATCCAGAGGTGGCGTCTGAACCCATCAGCCCACGGCCAAGGTCTCTGACCGGTCTGGTTGATGCATGAAGTTCGCTCAACACAGGTAGGTGAAAGACCACGAGACCAGATGGCCTCCCGGACGTAGCAGTCTCGTGCGGCACCTCACCTGTTCAGAAAGAGGTCGACATGGTAGGATGATGTAAACGGCTCTTTTCCATCGTCAGAACTCGTAGCACGCGAGTTGCTGTGGGTTAAAGAAATGCTCCTCCTGGTTGCACACCGATGGCACGAACATCCCAACGCTGGGTGAGGAGCGGCTGGCGTACGCATGTACGAGTACTCGCACCGGTATGCATTGTGCTGGTGACTCGGCAATGCCTCGATAGCTGGGCTGTGTGATCATCTAACCAGTATCTATAAAGCCGCCTCCTTTCCAGTCCACATGAGAACAGCAGCAGCTTGCAAACACAATCATCAATCGCCTCACTTGATAAATTTACCCATCTCTTTCACCATGACTGGAAGCGCTTCCGAACATCAGGAGACTGCAGTCTCGTCCATGCCAGCGCGGCTCGAGACTCTGAGCTTCACGAAACTGCTTTCCGGAGACAAAGCAGAGATGGGACGCCTGCTAGTTTCTTGCCAGACTGACGGCTTCTATTATCTGGATCTCAGAGACTGGAAGGATGGACAGTTTGTCAGACTTCTGGACAGCCTCAATAGAATCATGAACGAATGGTTCAAGCTACCGCTTGAAGAGAAAGAGAAAGCAGTAGCTTTGTCTGATGCTCAAGGGTGAGCGACTCCCTTGATCCTCATTGACCTACGTCTAATGTGAAATAGATACAAGCCATTGGGCCAGCAATCTGGACCAATTGAGAAGACCCGAGATGGCTACGAGTCACTGCGGGTGAGCCGCACGCAGCTGCTGGATGGCGAGCCTCTCTCTGCAGTCCTGAGCGATAATCTGGCCGACTTCAGGATGCTGCTGGACCAAAGCCACTACATCACAATGTCCATCCTGGGTTGGCTGTCAGATGCACTGCAAGTCCCTGTCCCTGAACGCTTCGAGAATTATCATCCCGATGACGGCACCTCTCGCAGTGCCTTCGACTTCATCCATCATCCGCCAAAGCCAGATCATGGAGGCATGGGCCACAACATGCATACCGACCTCGGCCTTTTAACTCTGCTGTTCAACCAGCAACCAGGCCTGCAGGTCATCACACCACAGACCAATGAATGGCAGTACGTCACGCCACGCCACGGATTTGCAGTGATGAATGTTGGCGATACATTAATGATGGCTTCGCAAGATCGTCTCCGCTCTGCTCTCCACCGGGTCTACCCCATGGGAGGCACTATGAAGGAGCATCGCTACTCCACAGCATATTTCTTGAGGCCGAGCGACAGTGCCACGGTGAAGGATTTGGAGGGCAATATAGTGACTGCCGAAGAGTGGTTTAAGCGCAAGTTTAAGTCATTCACAATGAACTTGGAGGAGCAACGTAACGACTCGCTCGCATTTGGAGGCATTGATCGCACGCTAAAGATCAAGGTCTGAATGGTCTGAGAGTCAGAAGGAAGAGTGGCGCTACGCTCGCTTTTGTATTTCCAATATAGTTCATTCCTCACGCAAAATTGCATTCACAATGTCCTCTGCATATCAATTTAGACTGGCAAATTGGTCCTATTATCAACAAATCAGTTTTCTGTGGACTTGGCTTTTTGAAAGTGTGATGAGTCAGCAGCATGCGACTTCACACAAACTTCCACAACTCCAACACCAGTATCCTAAAACCCCCATCCACCAAATCGCAACACCACAACCATGACCGACACCCGCAGCCTCATAACCCGCTTCAAATTCTCAACCCTCCTAAACCAAGACCAACAAGGCCGGCGCATCGTCCTCCAAGGCACAATCTCCGGGCAACCAGCCCTCCTCCTCGCCGAACGCGGCGCCTTCAAAACAGAACCAAACTACCTCGGCTCCTTCTCGCGTCTTCTGGCCCACGTGAAAACCCTCGGAGACAATGACATCTACCACTGGTACCTAGCCAACTCCATGACAGAAAACACAATCGACGAACCCACGCCCCCGGATTTAAAGATAAACCTCATATACCCTTGCACCGAAACACATATCCGGAAGTACTCATTCCAGCAAGCACGTGTCGTGAGAGAGACGGCCGAGATTTATGAGGAGTTTGTGAGGCCTTATATGAAAGTTTGTCGGGAGGAGGGGAGATTGAATTGGGTGTTCAATATTTTGGAAGGAAAAAGTGAGCAAGAGAATGTGTTGTTTCGATCTCACGAAGCAGATCCGCAGGATGATTTCCTTTTACTTCCGGATTTGAATTGGGATCGTTCGACGCTCGGGTCTTTACATTTATTGGCGTTACCGATGAGGCGGGATATTTGGTCGGTGAGGGATTTGAAGAAGAGGGATGTCGAGTGGTTGAAACATTTGAGGGAGACTTTGACGAGGAGTGTGAAGGAGTTGTATGCTGGGTTGGAGGAGGATATGCTGAAGTTTTATGTGCATTATCAGCCGACGTATTATCATTTTCATGTGCATGTTGTGCATGTGGATCTTGATGCTACGGGGACGCAGGCTGTGGGGAAGGCGTTGGGGTTTGATCATGTTGTTTCGCAGTTGGAGAATTTGGGGGGTGGGGAGGAGGCGGGGATGCATCTGGTTGAGTTGTCGTATACGGTTGGGGAGAGTAGTGAGTTGTGGCAGCAGGTTTATTTGCCGTTGAAGGAGGGGAGGACGCCGAGCGTTTTGCAGTGAGAAAATTGTTGTGGTGCAGTTGTCTCTATGACAGTTGAGGCCTATTGCCTTTCAGTGCATCTGGAGCTACATTGGGGCCTGCGCAGCGATATTACCCTTCACGAGCGATGCAGAGAGTCCTGCGGGTCGGTGATGCCCACGAAAAGAAAGATCTCATCTGCGTGTATCCGTCTGTGTCTGCTGATAAGCCAAATCGAACTCAACCGGCTCCTCTCGTGACTTGAGGAACTTCGGTGTCTTCACCGGTGAGCTTCAACTCTATTCCCATTCTTGATTTCCGGTACTTATAGTTTCCACCTATCACATGCGAGGTCCCGTATTCGCAAGACTCTGACCCGAGACAGCATGTAAGGTCTAGGCAGCTCGTGCGCGTTCAGATTACAGTATGCAAGAGTACAGCTATGAACATTTCAGCACGTGAAAGGAAGACTCGGCCTTCTGCTCTATATCAAAATCGATCGCGCTCTCAGTTCGCTTCCGACGGTCTCCAACAGTTCTCTTCCTCTGTGAGCCTCACTTCAACATCCCTCGGTGCATTCCGCATCTCATCTTGCCCTGGTAGTTGGTCAGTACTTGGCTCCGCTGGGCATAATGCCGATCTCCCCAAGAGAATCGCGAACGTAGGGTATCCCGGGTATCCCACAAGCGTGCTAGGTGCAAGTTCGGAACGAAATCTTTCCAGTGCGGCCGAATCGGAAAGCAGGTCTATTCAAGTTGCAAAATCTCTATCCTACTTTTGGGTTATATGTCAATCCCTGGCCATGATGTAGTTTTCTGCAACACCTGGCATAGATGCAATCGCTTCTAGGGTATCCAAATGCACATCCTCTTTTCCAATGACACCCCATCTACAATATCCCGAGATCTCGCAAGTCTATTCTGTTCTCTGCTTCTTGTTTCTAAGAGCATCGAGAAACTCTTTTGGTGGCTGTTGTCTGTAGCCCTGTGGATTGTTCTCGGTCCACCTCCAAAGGTCGGCGCAGGCGTCCTCGAGAGTGTGGGTAGCTTTCCATCCAAGCTCCTTATTCGCACGCGATGGGTTCGCTGTGAGGTCGAGCACGTCGCCTGCACGGCGTGGAGCGACTTCGTAGGGTAGATCACGTCCCACGGCTTTGCTGAAGGCCTTGATCATTTCATAGACTGTGGAACCCCGGCCAGTCCCCAGATTCCACGCGCGTACACCTGGCTTGTTCGAGCGCAAGTGGTTCAACGCAACAAGATGGCCGTCAGCCAGATCGAGAATGTGAATGTAGTCACGAATTGCAGTGCCATCCTTTGATGCATAGTCTACTCAAGTCAGTGTGCTGAGCAGCGTAGATAGGTACTGATCTGTGCTCACCATCTCCAAACACGAGAAGCTTTTCACGCTTGCCAACTGCAACCTGGGCCAGCAGCGGAAGAAGGTTGTAAGGAACGCCTGTCGGGTCTTCGCCCATCACACCACTGGGATGGCTTCCGGCAGGGTTGAAGTATCTCAGCAATGCGGCATTGAACTCGTCTCCGGCGCTGCCTGCTTCTTGGGCCTTGACTCTTTCCGAGTTAATGTAGTCTGTGATCATGGTCTCGACTGCAAATTTGGTGTTGCCGTACGGGTTTGTTGGGCCAAGAGGACATTCTTCTGGGATCGGAATCATGTCCTTGAATCGCGTCGCGTCGCCATAAACCGTGGCAGACGAGGAGAACACGATGTTCGTGACTTTGTGCTTCTGCATGCTGCGGAGCAGGCACAATGTGCCATAGACATTGACATGGTAGTAGTCCAGAGGTCTCTTTCCCGATTCTCCCACAGCTTTTAGTGCAGCAAAGTGAATGACATTGTCAATGTCTGGGTGCGCCGCGAAAACCTCGTCAAGCTGCTTCTCGTCGGTGATGTCGCATTTGACGTATTCGGGTCGCTTGCCGCAGATCAGCTCAATGCGATTGAGGACTTCGTCGGAGGAATTATAGAGGTTGTCGACGATGACGACTTTGTAGTCTGCTTCGAGAAGCGCGAGAGCGGTAAAGGAGCCGATGTATCCCGTGCCGCTGCATTGGCATATGGCATCAGCATCGCATGGTCAAAGTGTAAGGTGTCCCAGAATGGGAAGAATGTCTTACCCGGTCACCAGCACTGATCCTACAACCATTTTGTCGTCCGCTTGTCAAATCTCAAGCTATTGAATCTGTTTCTGATTTGTAGGTAGAACTTCTCTCGGGTAGCAGCTGCTCGTCGTCGACTCGATATGTTGCTTCTGAGGGGTTGCACAAGTGGATTCTTTTTAAGCTCGAGACAGCTCCCCCTTTTAAGGCTCGAACCGCTGATCGCTGCCAGGAACTTTTTGTAGGGCTGAACATCGGGAAGTGGGCGAGCCTCGTTTCCACTCACTCCGGCATGTGGTGCTTCCTTCCGAGTAACATGCTCAGACGGTCAGACCTCATCATCATTCTCACCGCAGCAGCTGTTCTTGCCATCGACACTGGAGCACAAATGGCGCGACTAGTCCAGTTCTGACGTTGTGAAGCCATTCCGAGCAGCGCCAGGAGAGTAGGTCTTCGCTTGCAGAAGCATGGCGTGACAATACGTGGTTCAAGTGGCCGCTTTCACACCTTAGAGCTCTCGTGATAGAGCTTTCACGTGGCCTAATGCCGGCCACTTCAACTGGACAGGCATCTTCCCACCTTGATTCAAGGACCGTTGAGCCTTTTTGTGCCTTTCGTTGCCCTCCGCAAATGCTGGCGAGGGCATAGTGCAGCAACGTCTAATACAGATCCTGCGAACCACCACGTCTCAAGTTTTGGGCGCAAAAGCGCAAAGGTGTGGGTCCGGAACTGGCCACAATCGCCTGTAATCGTTGCTGAGCAGCGACGCTGCGAGATCCCAGGCACTTCTCGGATCCGAAGGCTATCAAGGGCGGTGTCCCGATTCAGCATCGAGTAGGTCCGCTGCACAGCATAGACGAACTCTTCTAACATCCAGCGCTCTACTGTGTTCTACACTCCTAAATACACTCCACCATGGCGAACAGGAAGGATTGCTACATTCCGAGGCCACTCACAACATCCGACATACCAACATGCGCACGCATCGCTGGACTGGCCTTTGAATTTGATCGGCAAACACAATTCAAGGCGCGAAGTCTACTGAACCCTTATGATCATGAAGCAGGAATGCAAGATGCCTTGGCCTACTGGCTCAGCCAAGCTCCAGGAACGATGGACATCACAGTCGCTGAAGACCCATCAACAAAATCTGTGATCGGCTGGGTTGCCTGGGTCTATCGTGGCTTTAACTCTGCCGAAGGTCACGCACGACGGGAAAGGGAGCTGAAGCAGCTCGAGGACATCCATGCCGAGGGCAGGCAAATTGCTAGACCAACGTCGCCGGTGGTGGAATCTGTAACATCCGAAAAGTCAGCGCGGGCCAGACTCGAGCAATACACAGGCGACCATCTCAAGGTCTGGATGGAACGTCTCATGCCTCTCGGGACCAAGTGCATGTATATTTCCAGTATAGTCGTGCGTCCTTCCCATCAAGGCAAAGGGGTAGGCTCGGCACTGATTCATCGAGGTACGGCCCGAGCAGATGAGGAAAACGTATTCTGCTGGGTGCATGCTAGTGAAGTTGGCACAGTGGCATTTGAGCGCCAAGGATTCAAGACTATAGGAAAGCTGGAACTCGATCTCGATCGCTGGAACACAGAGGGCATCGTGCCTCCCGATGGTTCGCGATGGGGGATGTACACCTTCAATTACATGCGAAGAGACGCTCGTTAGCTACAATTTTGACGTTAAACATAGGAGAAGCAAGATTTTCTTTTCCCTCATGCGAAAACATCGCCTGATGTGACGGTGCGCCAAGTAATCTGTTGAACATTCCAGGCCAGTGGAATTGCTATGGCCACCGTAAGGGTCCTAAGTGGTGACAGCAGGTAGCACTGTCGATCAAGACGAGCAAATCAGATACAACAAGCGTCGTGAAAGACGCTATAGAGAGATGGCAGCAGGAGGAGAAGCTGAAGTCGAAAGAAAGTCCCACGGACCCAATCCCGGTCCTAGAATAGTGCTCGCTTATGCAAGATGCCGAGGCCCGTGTGTTGTGCCGGCAACAAGGTACAATGGAATGCATTGACGGGCCGGATGCATCATTGTTAGCCAGAGTACTCGAAAGCACTTCGCGATGGCCGCAATGCTCCCCAACTTCTCAAACGAGTTCTTATTGTGATGACAATACAAGAGCACAATCACGAAGTGAGAATAGAGCGCAACAATAGCATCCGCAGATAAGGTTTGGCACTAGTGCCACTGGCTTTCGAGGACCCACCGCCGAATCCTCACTACTTCAAACTGCGAAACTTCCATCGACTTTCTCCCCACAACATCAACAACCCCAAGACCTGTCGCAGCCATGTCTGGCCGCAATCAGACACCGGCAACAACACGCCAAACACGCTCTCGTGCACAGACGCCACTGCCAGCATTGCCAACACGTCAGTCGCACGCGTATGGCGCTCAAGGCAAAGCCGCCATAGCGTCGCAAGTCAATACAACTCAATCTGGCTTCCAGAATGCATTCGCAAACAACACACGCAAACGTGGCACAACTCGCGAACCAACGCGCGATCCCTCACCAGAAGGTGCCGCACCATCCAATAACAACCGCTTTCGCAAGAAGACCAAAGCACCAGAACTAGTTCCACGAGCAGAAACCTATGTCGATGACGAGCCCGAGGTAGAAGACGAACCTGCGCTTGAACAAGAACGTGCACCAAAGACCAATGGCTTTGCTTGGAATGGCCCAGGTCGCCAAGCAATTTTGGAGTCGACTCCCGACGACGCAAGACCCGCCACCTCTCTTCAAAACAGCGCACTCTACACTGCTTCCCACGGTCCCCCACCGCCTCCACCTCCACCACCGAGGCAGCCGACTGACCCATTCGGCCGCAATCCAGAGCGTCAAGAAGCGCATGCTCGCCCAGAGCGATTCCAACCAAACTCATTCATGGTATTTATTCACACATTACCGCGGTACCTTCGGAGGCTTGTCAGCGATGCTAATGGCCTCAAGGGTATCCTCTCAATCGTGCTTCTCACAATTGCAGCTCTGATTGCCATGGCACGTCTACCGCTGCCAAATTCGCTCGCGCAGCTCAGACATCACGCTCTCGTGGAGACGGCTTGGATCATCGGCCTACCAGGATACTCGTCGCCAAAGGAGCTCCAACTGCGCTGGGAAATGTTTCTGAACGATGATGCTTTCTGGGATCTCCTGCCACCAAATCAGACTATACCGAGCTTGCAGTACGGTATCAACGCTCATTTCAAATCTCGACTCGACAAGGCCGACAACGCTACGGAAGCCATGCGACAGACCATCGCTGTGCAGCAAGCTGCAATTGCAGAGCTGCAACGCATTCTGCCGCGCACCATTGTTACCGAAGAGGTGGACGGCGAATGGCAAATACCAGCTCACTTCTGGAAAGCGCTCTCCGACAAGATGACACGACCAAGCGACTCATCTGAAATCTGGGACCACTTCATCCAGAGCAACGAAGAGAAGCTACAAGCTGTCTTTCTGGGAGTTTTAGATCAAGAGATGGATAATGTCGCCTCTCGTCATCAACTCGTCAGCAAAGACGCCTTCCAAGCCGCCATGGTTGCGAACAACAGGCTCATGGAAGAGGAGATGGCGGAAACGCTCCACAAATTCCGCACAGAAATCTTGACTGAAGCTCGCGACGTTGCCAAGGACACTCTCGAGAAGTCTGAAATTATGGCTATGGCTCGCGCTAATATTGCCGCTCTTGGCAATGCCAACGTCGTCTACAATACGGACAAGGCTCTTCGCCAGGTCAATTACCTCTCAGTCGGCAGCGGCGCTGCAATTGACCCTCGCACCACCTCCAAGACACAGCACCCATCCAATACATGGTACTACTGGCTTGGCACAAAATTCGGCATCTGGACTCAAGTCCCAAACCCACCATCTTCAGCTATCCAGGCGTGGGACGAGACCACGCAGTGCTGGTGCTCCGCCAACTCTACCGAACACAGAGCGCAGCTTGGTGTCAGGCTATCGCGTAAGATCTGGCCGACCGAGCTTACCATCGAGCACGCCCCTGCTATGGCAACCCGCAACATCGCTGCAGCTCCGAAGGACTTCGAGGTGTGGTTCGAGCTTGACCCGGCCGAAGCGGACCGCATTTATGAGGAAATCGGTGGCAAAACCTCGCGCTTCGCTGGCGACCGACCATGCTCCAGCACGCCGCCAGACGACTTAAGACCTTGGGCCTGCCTCATGACCGACTGGTACGACATCGACAGCCACAATTTCGTCCAGTCTTTCAAATTCTTTCCAGACATGCAGAGCCACGGTATCAGCACGAACAGAGTCGTATTCCGAGTGACGGACAATTGGGGAGCCGATCACACGTGTATGTACAGGTGGAGGCTCGCTGGAGAGGAGGTTCCGCAGTGATTTGACATTCTGTTTCGAAATTCTGGACGGGTTCACAGCACCTAAGGGGATATCTAGGTGATTTTAGCGATGGCGTTCTGCATGAGATACCCCAATGTGAACGAAATGAAACATGCCCAAACTCTTTTATCTATCGTGCTTTCTTATCTTTGGCTTCCGTCAAAATGGGTGATTCTGAACAATTCGAGGCAAATCTGGATGATGATAGCGAGGCATATTTCATCGAGAAACCTCATGGTAAGGAATTAAAGCTTGTACAAACTAACTCACATCTTTCGTGCCTTCTTCCCTTTGCTTCGTTCAAAGGCGTGCTTCTGAGCAGTTCGAGGGGAATCCGGATGATGATGCTATAGCAAGGCATCTTTCATCGAGAAGCCTCGTAGTAAGCGAGCGACTGGACTCAAGCGTGAATCCGCCTGCAACATCCTTTTATACATTGCCTTCCGGCAAAAAGGGCGCTTCGAAGCAATTCGAGGGAAATCCTGATAATCATGGCAAGGCATCTGTCATCGAGCAACCTCGTAGTCAGCGCAAGCGTAAACCCGCCTGCAGCGTCCTTTCCTACGCTGCTTTCCGCCGATGAGAGTATTCTACGGTCGTTAAGAGAAGATCAGATGTACCAGTGATTTGCTCAGTAGTGGAGCTTGCCCTAGGAGACCAACTAAAAGCAAGGGTGAACAATCAAGCGTGAACCCACCTGCAGCGTCCTTTTCTACATTTCCTTCCGCCGATAAGGGTATTTCCACGGTCGTCGAGAGAGGATCAGATGTACTCGTGACTTGCTCAGTAGTGGAGCTGGAGGCAAGAGTGAACTCACGCCTGCGTTCGTTTCTGTTGTAAACGGTGTTTCTATGATTGTTGATGGAAACTTAGATGGGTTGATACATCATCGAGTGTAATAGGGATGTAAGAGTTCATGGAACAAGAAAACATTCAAGACTAAATCAAGCTCCAAAAGACCCGGTAATACAACGCCATCCAAATTTTAGTGTCGCGGCCATCAAGCATTATCACAAAACATCATTCTACTCGACCGACCCGAGCTTCTCCCACTACTCCTAGCAGAATCCAACAACTTCCCATACACAGCCAGGTGATCCTGAACATCCTTGACAATCCTGGGCGTGCCAGCCTCATCTTGCTCCAGTGCATCGCGGACGATGTATACTCTTCCTTCCCAAGGTCGAAGCTTATAGCCAGGCTCTGAGACATTGCTTGCGATGAGGCGGTACGTGTGGCCGAGAAGATGGCGCTGGACTGTGTTTAGTGGAAGCTCATCGTTTGAGAAATTCAGGATCACGAGTGCAGTCTGTCCATCTTCAGCCATCTTGGTGTAGGTGAAGGTGTGGGTGTTCTCGTAGTCGTAGGTGGCGAAGGTACCGAACATGAAGAGCTCCCGATAGTGCTTGCGCATGGCGATTCTGTCTTTCCAGAAGAGCCAAATGCTGTTCGGGTCCTTCTTCTGGGCTTCGACGTTCAGCCAGTCGTAGTTGTCGTTGACTTTCATCCAAGGTGGGTTGCTGCCTGTGAAGCCAGCATTCGCTTCGTTGCTCCACTGCACAGGCGTGCGAGAGTTGTCTCTGCCGACCTTGAAGACGCCCCTGATGGCATTGTCGTGAGCGAAAGGATCCTTCTCACGATTAAGCTCGACATAGTCTCCGATGTAGATGTGAGCGTCAGGATCTTTGAACTCGGAGGAGCCCCAACTGATTGGCATATTCAGCATGCCTATCTCTTGGCCTTGATAGAGAAACTCAGTGCCTGACAGCGTGGTCTGAAGGAGACAGAGAAGCTTGCCGGCTTCACGCCAATGCCTAGACTCAGGTGTTGCGTAGCGGGCAATGCTGCGAGGCTGGTCGTGGTTTTCCATAAAGACAGTGCCCCACGCATTGGTATCTGTGATGAGGTTCTGCACCTTGGCAATGGCTGTCTTGAATCCTGGTAGCGTATAGCTTGGATCATCGTCCATATAGTTGCAGACTTCATGCTTGGCGTACTCATCAGGATTGTCGTTATTCCCAAGCTTGACCATGTCGAAGTCGAATACCATGCTCAACTCTTTCTCCTCTGGTCTCACGTATCGCAGCAGCTCCTCATATGGTGTGAGAGGCAGCTCACCAACGATCATGATGTCCTTGCCTGGAGCATCTCGATCGATCTTTTCGCGAATCTCTTTCAGCCATGGGTGCATCTTGGGGCCGTTAATGTAATGCTTGCTGCCTGGCTGCCATCTCCCTGGAACGACAGGCGGATCGATGTCCGGGTAGGAAAGATCTTTGCAGAATCGATTCGCAGTGTCCAAGCGGAAACCGTCGACGCCACGGTCCAACCAGAACTTAATCGCCGAGTCGTACACAGCCGCTCGCATGTCTGCATTATCCCAGTTCAAATCTGGTTGGGATTCAAGGAAGAGATGGATGTAATACTGCTCGCGCTCGGGAATCCAGGTCCAAGCACTGCCACCGAATGCTGCTCTCCAGTTGGACGGTTCTTCGATTTTGTGCTCACCAATCATGTGGTCTGGGCGTTTGTCTCCCCACATATACCAGTCTGCCTTTGGATTGTCTTTCGATTTGCGACTCTCCAGAAACCATTGGTGCTTGTCGCTTGTATGAGTGATAACCAGATCCATGAGGATTCTCATACCACGAGCGTGAACCTGTTCAATGAGGTTCTCCATATCCTGAAGCGTCCCAAATTGATCCAGAATGTCTTCGTAATCTGAGATGTCGTAGCCCCAGTCCTTCATGGGAGACTTGTAGGTGGGTGAGACCCAGATACAGTCGATACCAAGATCCTTCAGGTAGTCGAGCTTCGAAATGATACCTTTGATGTCGCCAATGCCGTCACCATTGCTGTCTTTGAAGGACATTGGCCAGACCTGGTAGCACATTACACCCTTCCACCAGGGCCGACCTTTGGCATCCTGCTGGGGATTGAGAGCTGGAGGAGACTCTGACGCCTCACTGCTAGCGGAGGAGGCATGCGAGGAAGAAGAGCGCGAAAACGCGGCGCCAATTGGATCAATCTCCATGGCGCAGGATACACAGCTGTGTGGGTGGTTGTCTTGCTTGGGTTCTTGAAGGTCGAGGAAGTGCCTCACGAGTCTCGGAGTCGTAGTCGAAGAGTCGGTCGAGGCCTGAGAGGCTTTGGAATTGAACATATACCTACAAATGAGCGGGCTGCCTGCTTATATGGTTCTGGACGCTGTGCGAATCAATGTGCAGAAACATGGTGAATGACATCGGCTTCCCGCCGAGGCCGTCACATGAGATATACAGTACCATGTGCCAGAGCCAGTCGACTCACAGGCTGCATTTAATAGTGCCCTGGCATGTTTGCACCATTTCACCAGCACGTTCACGACAATACGATCGTTTGCTTGCGAAATCTGGAAGGAGAAGTTTCCGAGATCTGCCGGAGCCATCATACCATAGTGTGCATGGATATATGAGAATAGCCTCTCGAGATGGTCTGCTGGACTTCTGGCCCGATAGGTCACTGTCTTCGCGCATCGAGTCGAGCACCGGGCAGCCATTATCGCATGAAAGTTCATGTTTATTTCGCAGAAGATGAGAACGAAGTAAGGTCGGCGTGCATAGACGGCACTAGAAGGCGTATAGGCCGCTCGATGCGCGCAGAGACTTCTGCATAGCGTGTCGACTAGTGAGCCAATACTGCTGTGATGCATAGATATATCGCGAAGCATGTGCCATGAAGTCGATGAAAAGGCGCTCCCTGACGCGTCGCGCTTTTCCGTTGCTCCGTCAACGTCATCCGCCGGACCAACATCCAGTCTCCCGATCTCCAATTACGACAACGACATTTACCTCGCAACACACAGGTCCATATCGCCCATCGAACAGTCTAAACAGCATCCACAATGGCTCCGAAGCGTCGCACAACCACAACTCGCTCCTCCGGCCCCCAGCGCCAACAAGCCACCCTCTCTTTCCACGGCAAGAACAACAAAGTCACAAAAGCCCAGTCGCCGAGAAGTAAGACCACAAAGAAGGACCCAGCATTAGTCGAAGATGTTGTCACGGACGAAGCGCAATCAATCAAGACCGAAGCCGAACCAGATCTCTCGGAACCCACCACAGCAGAGAAAGCGATCGAAGAACAAGTCAAATCCGAAGTCTCCAACCTCGAATCTGTAGATCCTCTCGAGACTGCGACGAAGACTGAAGATGTTCTGGGAGGTCGAGCCCAAGAAAGCTCTCTCGGCATAGACTGGCTAGGAGAAGAAGAAAGCCTCGCTCGAAAAGTCTCCGATACACAAATCAAACAATATTGGCGAGCCAAAGAGTTGGAAAGAAAAGCGCCGAGAGTGCATCAGCAAGATTTGAGCTTACATGAGAAGATTTTGAGGGAGTGGGATATGAGTGGTCAATACGGAGTGAGTTTGAACAATGATAATGGGACTGACTTTCGGGGTGTGGATGTCGCTAACGCTTCGTTATAGCCTTGTATTGGAATCGCAAGACTGAAGAGATGGAAGAGAGCTAATGTCTTGGGGTTGAAGCCTCCGATTGAAGTTTTGGCTGTTTTGCTCAAGGAGATGGATAGGGGGGATGTCAAAAGTCAGAGGGCACATGTGGATGAGTTGATGAGTTCAAGGTTTGCGGCGGATTCGTAGTGATTGAGGACGGTTAAAGAGTGTATGATTAAGAGGCGTAAGGTGTTGCATCGGAGTATGAGGAAACTTTGGTGTAGGAATGAATGATTGAAGGGCTCTGGGACAGGGGACTGCACGTAGGACATCTGCACAGCACGCTGGGACAAGATACATTTTCGAGCATGATGCTCTTCAAATTGCTCTACCATGAACTGATCCTTTCATAGCCCTAGCTATTCAACGTTTGCCCGTTAATGCGAACTGAAAACTATACGTCAGCCACCATACCATATTGATGAGTACCGAGGCGGTTCAAGTGCCCTCCTGACTGCGTTTGACCGAGATAGGAGGGATAGTAAGAGTTGCCAGCCAAAGGCTTGGTAAGACATTGCGTCAAGGTGTGTTGAACCATGTGTTGGGAGCTAGGAGCTAGGTTTGTGAACATTCATCGTTAATTATTCACTGGAGGTTGTGATTGAGAGACAAGAAGACCGTTTCGGCGATTTTATGCTGCCGCGGATCATTTTGGCTGTGTGTATGATGAGAAGTGGCAACAAGATCAGCTGTCGCCACTGTGCTGCCGCTTGCGTAGAGATTCCTCCCAATCTTGGTGACGACCCTGCGCCGGCTACGCATTAATGACATGTTATTGCTCATATCTGGTACACTGTACATACACGGCCTTTCCTCGCACCTTTTTCAGCGCTCTAATCTCGGCGATACGCACTTCCCTGAAACGCCGGTAAATGCTAGTCGAGGCATGGGAGCATTGTTAGGAGGCTCTTCAGTGGCTCGATTTGAAAGCACACTCGCAATCTCAAACATTATAAGTCCGTTTCGGTCGAAACTGGACTATTGGCCGGGTGCTTCGAATGGGTTTGCGCTTCCGGAAAGAAGAAGTCCAATGATGAGACCAAATAGTCCAAGGACTGAGGAGAAGATCTCAATAACCAGAACTTTAACGAATCTGCAAAAAGTCAGCACCACGACCGATGTTCTACCACTTTCCGTTGAATCCGCTCACAAGCTTGGATCCGCAGCATCTGCCAGTGCAGCACTTGATCCATTGATGCCTACACTGACACCACAGACCAGGTTACATGCGCCTACGAGCAGCCCTGACCAGAAGAGTGCATATCCAGTGAAGTAGTTGCTGGCCGAGTATATCGCTGGTCCAGTGACGGCTTCAAGCTTTGCAGAGAACACAATGCTCATGATGACACCGTAAATAGCCACGACTTCGCAGAAAATGATGGAGATCAAGTTCTTTGTCCGAATGCGCGGCGCTTTCACACCACCTCCAAGAATCGATGTGCCCGTGATGAAGATGCCCCTGCTGCTGTGTCAATTCCCCTGCCCGCCTTCTGCTGCAGCTCTCGCCTCTTTCCATGTGACTGACCATGCTGCTCCAATGACCGACAATCCTATGCAGAGTCCAATACCGGTCGATGCCCACGCGTATGGCGATATCGATTCGAGAAAGGCTCCTACGTTGAAAGCTTCGCCTTCGCCCTGGAAGAGCATATCTGTTGGTCATCTCATCAGCTTCCACTCTCCCATGTGTCAGAGCTTCGCGCATGCTCACAAAGTCCAATGACCACAAGCGCAGTACCTGCGCCTGAAGCGCCATACGTTAGGCCGCCCATGATATGAGATGTGAAGAAGCCGGCGATTCTTAGGGACGGGTCCTACGTTGCCTGCGCGAAGTGACATCTTGAGCTCATGCATTGCGGGAGTGGCCGCGTCGGATCTCGGCAGCTGACAAAGAAGTGCTCCGCCCGCAGTCGCCCTCTATCGTTCACCTCGACAGCAGTGACTCCTTTACTTTTACACGGCAGACACCTCGCGCGACAACATTTCTTAGAGGCTGTCGGGACACAGAAATCTCACCAATCCACTTCGGCCTCAACAGATACCCTACAAATTCCTACACGATCTTGAGCACGCCAGAGCGCCCCGCGAGCGACCATGGCGCAGGCAGCCTCGCAGCAGCAGGGCTTCTATGAGCTGTACAGAGGCACCTCGTAAGTACAGATCATATCGCACATCTTGGACCAGTAGCGACTTACGCTCTCGTGTTCAGTATCGGCCTCGCGCTCGCAGACACCCTCGACGACCTCATCAGTTCTCGGCGAATCGAGCCGCAGCTTGCCATGCGCATCATGGCCAACTTCGATCAGCACATCGCCCAGGTTCTCGGAGACAAGGTCAAGGCCCGCATGACGTTCAAAGGCCACCTCGACGTTTACCGCTTCTGCGACGAAGTCTGGACTTTTGTAATCAAGGATGTCAAGTTCAAAATGGACAACGCCCTTCAGATGGACGCGGACAAGGTCAAGATCGTGGCTTGTCAGTCAAAGGAGAAAGCGGCTTAACCAGGTACCTGACTGTAAGAGAGGAGGAGAATAGTAAAGAGACCACCTTGGGATAGGTATACTGGAGCCGACCATCGAATGCATTGCAAGGGCTGTCCGTCGAAGGGCTGTCGATTCAGGGGAGACAATATCTCCAAGATCAAGCTAGAGTTCGGAGCACTGGACAGACTATGAGGTCAGACAGTGCCTCAACATCGAGCTCTACGCGCATCTCACATAACAGGCCAGAGTTGGGTATGGAGGGGCAGCCCCAAGTCTTACCGCTGGAGCAATTTGAGGTCTAGATCACTTCTGTTTGGAGGCTCGTCAATAGCAGAGGCAATGATTCGCTGCGCCTAGAAGGAAGATGGCCAATGGCTGATGCCATGAGCATTCCCCCCAGCGGACTGGGCACGAGATATGATAATGATAATGAACTGAACATCAAAATTTTTTCCTGCTGATCATTTTATCTCTTCTTTCTTCTGATAATACCTTCATACTGGCATGTTCTTGCGAACCAATATATACATGTATCATCTATTGCTATTATTGTTGTCGTTACTATACCGCCTATCTTATCTAAACTAGTGTCGCCGTTTAGGCCTAATTATATACTATATAATATAATCAGATCGAATACTATATAAGAAGGGTAGAGAAGAATAGCAGCGAACAACTAGAGACGAAGGGAAGATAGTTAAGAAGGAAGGGAGGACGAATAGAAAGCACTATATACTAGGGCAGAGGAGGTGCTAAAGGCGGAAGATAGAAGAACCCCTAAAAGGGTATATAGGATAATAATCTTAGAACTCCTTAGAGGACTAAAAGCAATCTATAACTAGGTAAGCTACGTAATTATAAAGGTAGCTAATATAGTCGTAGTAAAGATTACGAAGAAACAATAGGAGATAAGCCTAAACTACCGCACCTAGGCAGTAGTAGCTAGTTAGGAGGCGCTAAAACCCCTAAGGATAGTAGTTAGAGTCTATATTACGGACCTATAGGAGCAAAAGGAAATCTAAGGACTTATAGGGAAAGAGATTATAAAAAGAATTGCAGTTAAAGAGGTAATTAGGGCTAGGAACGAAGGAAAAGGGGTAATTAAGCTATTTATAGTATAAGAGTAGGACAAAAAGAAGCTAGAAATACAAAAAGAATAGATAACTAAGATAGGGAAAACAGCAAAGGTCTCCTAATAGCAATTTATAATTATAGCCTATAGTATAATAAGAAGCTTTAAGGAAGAATAAGATATTAAGAGCCTATAAAGACAAAACTAAGCTATATACCTAGGCCTAAAGATTACAAAAGTAGCATAGATTAAAAGGAAAATCGAAGAGACTAAGAAGCAGTCCTCCCTAATTATCTAGGTAGGGAGTATAGAGCAAGCTAATATAGTACTAGACTAGGGGTTGTTCTAGGACTTTAAAAGATTAGAAATAGAGATATATAGAAGCAACTATAGGATAATATAGTACTTCAAATATCAATACTATAGACACTTAGCAGCTAAGTATATAAAGACAACTAATACCTACTCCTATTATATAGGGGATTACTAGGTTAAAGAATACAAAGTATATAAGGGAGAAGCAAGATGTATATACTATACTAAAAGACACCCCTCTTAGGCGAAGGAATACCTAGTAAGAATATAGGCAGCTAGGAAAGCAAAGGAAGCTAGAATCAATACCCTAAAAAGATATATAATAAGCTAGGGCAGCTAGGTATAGAAGCAACCTAGCTAAGTGCTATAAAAGAGGTCTAGACAAGATAATGGATTCATATTTAGGGCCTTACTAGCATAAGAGAGTTACTAGCAACTAGGGAGACTAAGATACCTTAATATTGCAGGAAAGGAAGTAGGATAGACAAAGCTTAGTTAAATGTTAGTCTAAAGTAAGGGAAGACTAAAGGAAAACTTATAGGGAAATAATATAGATAAAACCCAATAAACATTGCAATATTACTAAACATTATATAGTATAATATTAACAAGAGCAAAGACAAGGTATAGAGGAGCTTCCTTTAAGCACTAAACCTAAAAGAATATTACATTATTGCAATCTAAGAGCCCTAGCTTAACCTATATACAAAGAGACTAGTAACAGTTAAAGACCTAAGATACTACCTAATTATCTACAACTAGGGAGCCCTAAGGACATACATCTATATTAGCAAGGAGATAGATATAGAAACCTAGTAGGCTATACTATAGGAGGATAGGGATCTAACATTAGTTTAAGTAGAGACATCCTAAGGTATACTCTAAGTCTACTGTATATACAACCTACTACTAGACTTAAGAAGCAGTACCTAACTAAAAACCCTAGAAAGACTACCTAGGGTTATCTAAGGGAACACCTACTAAATCCTACTTAGGGATTTTAACCTCTACTACCCCCTTTAGGGCTTAGACTTTACCCTAGCTTACTACTTCTTAGTAGGAAGACTAATTAATATATTAGAGAGGGAAGGAATAGAAATTGTTACCCTAAAGGGACTAATTACTTAGGAGGCAAGAGGAAGCAGTAGTACACTAGACCTATACTTTATATTACATTAGATTAGGAACAGGATTATAAGATATAGGGTCAACTAGGAACTAGAAGAATTATTAGACTACTTCCCGGTATAGATCGAGCTAAATGTCTAAGCTAATTAGGAAAGGGAACTAGAGGAGAAGCTTAACTAGAAAGGTACCTAATAGGGCAGGATTAGGGAGGAACTAGAAAGGGACCTAAAACTAGAGGAACTCTTAATAAAGTACCTACTAAGGCTAGAAGACATTAATAAGGCAGTAGAAGAACTAATAGGAATCCTAAAACAGGTAGCTAGAAAACATACCCTAGTAAAGAAACATTCACTATACTAGCAACTATACTAGACTAGTAAGTATATAAGGAAGGTTAAAGTAGTAAGGAAGGCTAGGAGGTAGTAGATATAAACCTATACCTAGGAAGTATAGGACAACTATAACAAAGCCTACTAGGAAAAGAAGATCTAGATTAAGAAAGATAAGATATAAGAATAGAGATCTATAATAGGAATGATTATAAAGAAACTAGAGGAGATATAGAGGATAGCTAAATAGGTAAGGAAACCTAAGTAGGATAAAGACATACTACTACAATTCCCGGACATTATAGACTAATAAGGACAAATGTAGACTATAATAGAAGGGAAAGTAAGAGCCCTAGGCTAACACTTCTTCTATAGAAAAGTATAAGCAGACCTATTAGATATAAAGGAGAAAGAATAAGAGACTCTACTACTAGGCATACTAAGAGACACCTAGGTTAAATCCGAAACTATTGAAAGGATCCTAAAGAAAATTCTAGGCAATAAGGCACTAGGAGAAGACAAGATCTACAATAAACTTCTAAAAGTATATAGGAAGGGGCTAGCCCTAGCACTAGCTAATATCTTTTTACAAAGCCTAGCACTAGGACACTACCTAAGACTATTTAGGAAGTCCCTAATAGTAGTGCTAAGGAAGCCCTAGAAGGAAGACTATATATAGCTTAAGGCCTATAGACTAATAGCCCTACTTAACACAATAGGCAAGGTGCTAGAAAAAATTATCGTAGAAAGGCTAACAACCTTTACCGAGGAAAGGAATATCCTTCCTAAAGGCTAAATAGGAGGAAGAAAGAAGAGGTCAATACTAATAGCTATAGAACTAATTATAGAACAGATTAAGCATATCTAGCACTATAGTTAAAACTAGGTAGCAACCCTCCTCTCCCTTAATATCTTAGGAGCCTTTAACAATATCTCCTATAAAAGGCTCCTATATATACTTAAACAGAAAGCTATACTAAACTAGATAGTCCAATTTATCTAGTCCTTCCTATAGGAAAGATTAATACAGCTTATTCTAGGTAAATTCAAATTAGACCTAATGCTAACTAAAAAGGGAATCCCCTAAGGATCAACACTCTCCCTAATCCTCTTCCTTATCTTTATAGTAGACCTACTCCTACTCCTAGAATTAAAAAATATATTAGCATTAGGGTTTGTAGATAATACAAACATCCTAGCCTAGTCTAAGACAATAGAAACTAACTATAAGATCCTAGAAGAGAAGCACTAGGAGTATAAAAAATAGGTAAGGAGGTATAGAGCAAAATTCGCCCTAGAAAAGTACTAGCTTATCCACTTTAGTAAGGCTAAATCAACCTATAATATAAAGCAATTAATTACTATCTAAGGCTTTGAAACCTAACTATTAATAGAGCTTAGGGTACTAGGGATCTAGCTAGATCTAAAACTAAATTAGGGACTATAAGTAAAGAAGGCAAAGTAGAGGGTAGATGCTAATATACAATCTATTAATAGGCTTATAGCCTCTACTTAGGGGGCTATATTCGAGAAAGCTAAAGTTATATATAAAGCAATTGTTAAGCTAGCAATACTATATAGAGCATAGATATAGATAGCCTAGGAGAAAACACTAAAGAGGATTAAGCAACTAGTTAGTAGGTCCTAAACCTAAAGCCTAAAGAAAATCCTAGGAGCATATAAAACTATACTAATAAGGGTAGTAGAAATGGAATTAGGGATCCTACTAGTTAAACAATACTTTAAGGGACTAAGATACTAATATATAGCAAAAACAATAGAATACCTAGCCTAATAGACTATCTAAAAGGCACTAGACAAGATAAAAGCCTAGTATATTAGGACTAGGAGGCGAGACAGACTATAAATAACTCCCTAGAAAGTTAAAGACCTAGAGCAATATAGAGTCTTAATAAGAGAAATACTAGAGAAAGAGCTTTAGGGACTAAATATAAGGCTAAAGGAAGACAAGCTAAAGGGAGAGAAACAAAGCCTAGTAGAATCAATTGCTAGATACCTATAGGAGTAGGAATAGAACAAAATATAAGTTAGACTAGGAACCCTAAAGGCACTAATTAAATTTAGTCAATATAACTACTAGCTCTATAAGGACCTAAATAGGGCCGAGGCAAGCCTAGCTATCCAAATCAGATCTAAACATATTAGACTCAGATCTTACCTATTTAGAAGAAACGTCCTAGGAATTAAAAGTAGAGCTTACTAATATAGCTACTAATCTTAGAACCCTAAGTATATACTGCTAGTCTGCCCTTAATAGTTAGAAGGCAGAAGTAATTAGAGACTAAAAGCAATAGAAAGGGAATACGATAAGCTAATCTAGAGTAAAGAAGACCTAAAGAGGATAGTAAAGTAGATTATTAAATAGGGTTTTATATAACAATTCGTACTAGTAAGGGAAACTAAGGAGTAGATAAGAAGGAGGGAAGAAGAGGGGGAAAGAAGGGCAGGGTAGTAGGCAAGGTAGTTAGAGGGTAACAACCATAATACTAGTATACCTTAGAAGAAGGAAAATAAGGAAACGAGGAAGATTAATACTTATAAATAGGATAGAAGGGAGGTTTTTACTAACTAAGTTGGTTTCCTACCCAAAACAATACATAGAAACAGACCTACATAGGCCGGAAGGCACTACAACAGGCAAATGAAATATCTATCTATATACATGTATCCGATGTACCTGAACAAAATGCCAAGACCTCATAGCGCGGATCTCCGACTTCACGTCAGCTCCCTCCCCTTCCCTTCCCTTCCCCGACCTTTCTTTCACAATCACATGTCAGCCTGAATCTTACACGATGTCCACACCATCACAACCTCAATGGCTCATCTTTGCAATAGCATCAGGAGGCTGTGCAGCCCTCAACGGCGTTTTCGCAAAATTGACAACAACACAACTAACCACAACATGGGCGACCGCGATTTCACACCTCTTTGGCCTCAAGCAGGAAAGCATAGTCATTGAGTTTATTGTGCGAGGAGTAAGTCCCACGGCAAGGCCGGACGATAGATCTCAAAGCTGATCAGTAGTGAAGTTCTTCTTCCTCATGAACCTCGCCTTCAACGCCGTAATGTGGGGACTCTTTACACGCGCTCTCACATTAGCAAGCAGTACCGTACGCGTCAGCGTGATAAACACCAGCGCGAACTTCATGCTCACAGCTGTTTTGGGAGCGATTATATTTTCTGAATCACTTCCAGGTACACTTTTTACTTCCTCTCATTCATTGGTACTTGGCTTACACTTTGTCTAGGTCTTTGGTGGCTAGGCGCCTCCATGCTCGTGGCCGGCTCTGTGATTATTGGTCGTAGAGAAGAAGGCAAAGACAATGTCGGGTCTGGCGTGGAGCCGACGGTTGTGAATTTGCCTGAATATTCTGATGAGCCGGATGCTCCGCCACCTAGTGTGGGTAACAACTCTGCTAAAGCTACTGCTTTCCTCTGATGAACGAGAGGCTTACTTGGACAGCGACGAGATCGAGTTGGAGACCTCGGGGAAGGGGCGAGGAAGCGGAGAGGGAAGTAGATGAATCTTGATTGAGCGAGCAATGGCTATGCTTCTCGTACAGGATCTGCTGCTTTCCAGGTTTCTTTCGACCGTCGAGAACGGGCAAACTCCACGGGTTCTCGCCGCTTTCCTTAGCACAGCGCCCCGAGCTGTACTGCTACCCTCGCGTCTGTCGAGATGCAGCCATTGCCTAAGCGGCAAGCTGCTGATCGAGCGCCTGCTCATCCCCGAGCTTTGTCGACTTGGTTCAGTGCCGGCTCTGCAGTCAGTACACATGCATTTGGCATGAAGTGAACAGAAGCGGTCCGTGCGCACTACGTAGCTGCCAATCTGGTGCTTTTGAGCAGCTCGCAACAAGCTTGGCAGATTCTTGATATCTCCCACCTTGACTTCAGAATTTTCTCACCCGTCATATCTCAACTGAGACTGGACTGCAAAGGCGTGACCTTTGACTTCCGTACAAGCTTCAACCGCGCCGCGACCGACAACGTATGACATCCCATCATCATCGCCGCCCATCTCAGGACACAGCGTCGCCTTGTCGCAATGCCCTCGACCACTAAGCGCGCTGTTGGCTCCGCCAACGGCACACCTAGGCAACTACCTCGATCGTCACCAATTCCACACATGCTGATCGAAGGCGGCGACTTCGAGCAATGGTCGGACGAGATTGATGCTGCTCTTCGGCGCAAGCGTAACCCGCGACTTAACAAATTCAACAAGGAGACGGCGCATTTACACACACTCGATGGCCCCAATGGCTCAGATGGCTCAGATGAGAGGAAGAAGAAGATGAGCGCTAAAGCGGCTAGACTCATATGCTCGTACGTCCATCCGAGCATACTACGGCGCATACCAGATCATGCATCGAAGGAGCCATGGGAGCTGTGGAAATGCTTGCCGGATAAATCCCGACCTTTCCGTCTCATGGCGTTGCCGGCAGAGTTGAGGGAGAAGATCTTCTATGAGGCCTTGCTCGACTGGCCTGTGACTATCTTCTGTCGTGACGAACAGCAAGCTAAGTCTGCAATACCGCCTCTGCTTCATTCAAATCGTCAGGTTCGAGAGGAAGCAGCCGCTGTCTACTATTCCGAAACAGAATTCCGCTGTGATTTTGGAACTCATGTTGGTACCCAAGCCAGCTTGACGGCGGCGCCCGTGCATGTGCTGATGCACGACTGGACTACAAACATTCTGGGCGAGAGCAAGAACCATCTTCGCCACTTGAGGCTGTCGTTTGAAGCCTGGGCAAGACTAGATTGTGGGAACCATCACCATAAAGTATCCATGACCATCACTATCAAGCTCAACGTGGATCTGAAGAAGAAGCAGCGCCTCGAAGTGGAAGCTACCGCCGCAAGAAAAGGCAGATGGGACGTGGCTTGGCTGAGTCAGGAGAAACAGAAAGAGTTTGACGCACACATCCAAAGGTGCAACGAGATCGCACAGCAATACGATTGGAAGGGCGAAGTCATTCTTCATGCTATTTCGTCAAATCCTGGACTATGGATGTTTGATGTGGGAGATGTGGTTGGGAGAATTGTCCGGCCTTGAAAAGAGGACCTACAGTGGCTCGCTTGGACCTGGGAGTCATGCCACAGACTTACAACCGCAAGGCTTTGGCAAGGAACTTCTCTCCTTCGACATATAGTTGTCAGAGAAAGTCATCGCCAGAGCATCGTGGGTCAAACTCTTTTCGAGCGGTGAACCTGTAGACGGAACTCCGAGAGTCACCGAGGCGGTGGTGCTACTGCTTTGAGCAGTCGCGATCAGCAAGTTATCATAGTTGCCTACAGGATCTCCAGGACTGCAACTCCTGGCTGCGAAGGATATAAGACCGAGAAGAAAGGCGAAGGCAGAAGTCTGGTTCATCAAGAAGATCAAATTGAATTGCGAGGCAGGGAATGATGCATCGCCTGCAACCCTCTTCGCTGCCTGTGCTTTGACCGATGGTGGAGCAACTAGAGCAGGCCAGAGAGAATAATTAGCTTTTTGAAATTGACAGCTGCTTCCCGGCCCTTCACCCTTCGTTTCGCTACGTCTGGCAAGGATAAGAAAAAGTGCGTAGTACGGCATGTTCCGCACGTTCCAGCTATCGAGCCTCTGCTGACTGCTACCTATATGATGAGCAAAATTCCAGAACCGTGCAAAAGGAGCTCCTCATCCTATCAAGCGGCTACTGTGACTTGGCAGGCATACATTAGCTCCAGTGCCCTGACCAGACAAGGATATCCACCAGGCATCAGCGATCACACATTTCTACACTGCTCGTTTCTTCGCACTGTCGTAGCATCCCCAACATTTCGAAAATTCATCTCCTCGCCAGGATCAAGACCTCCTCAGCTCTGGTCACATGAGCTCCCTCCAGCTATGCCAAGCAAGATCCATCGCCACAACCGAGCTGGAATGAACCTCAACGCCGTGATCAATATAGCCCCAATCGAGATCGTCCAGCGACAAGCCATGACCTTAGATTCAAAAAGAAAGGCAGGACATCTCCGAAGTCGTTTACACGGGACGTAACGTTCCTACCCCCTCCCCTTTCTCTCAAAATTGTTGTTGCGAGGGTAAGGGGGGAGGAGAGGGTGTTGGAGTTTATGGGGAGGGGATTGTTGTGGGGGGAGGAGTGAGGTGGTTTGTTGAGTTTTGGATTGGGGTCGTGAGGGTGGAGAATAGTTCTAGTAGTGAGTGAGTGGTGGATGAGGAAGCAAGGAACGAAATTGTGTTAAGAGGGCTGAGAGATTCGGGGTAAAAGCTAATGAACTCCATTCAAGTCTAGGAGTAGATCAAAACTCCTGCGCTGTGCAACACCGTCGTCGCTAATGCAAATGGGTTTGCCCCGCTTCGGAAAGCAAAGAAGGGTATCTTCCCAAAAAGAACGCCAGCACGCCAGCTCGTGATAGTCATGATCGTGGCCGATCGTCCGTTCACAATGGAACATCTTCCATCATTTCCACTGCACCCTCTCTTCCTACCGTAAAGATCACGTCACCGAGCGTCTTGGTCGCGAAGCCAGCTTCGCAGTACGCAAAGTAATATTCCCATTTTCTCTTGAAAGTCTCCACCTCTTCTTCGCTCAGTTTCTTGTTCTCCCGCTCATGAGCCTCTGCGATCAAAGCCGGTCGAATTTTGGTCGAGAAGCTCTGCATGAAGCTTTGTCGCCAGAGACGCAGAGTCTTGGCATAGTGCGGACCAATGTTTTCGAGACTCTCTGGGATTAATTGAGGTTCGACGCCACGCTTTGGGTCTGACGATCCAGCTCGTACCGCATCGAAAAGCTGCGTGATGGAAGGCAAATGGCCGCCCGGGAATATGTATCGCCGGATGAAGTCGTCGCCGCTGTTGTACGTCTTATGCCTCGACTCCGGCATCGTGATACACTGAAAGCATGCGACACCTCCGTCTGACTTGAGCAGGTTGTTGATGCAGCGGAAGTAGGTCTCCAAAAATTCAGCACCGACCGCTTCCAACATCTCAATGGACACGACTTTGTCGTATTTGTCCGACTCTTTCGGCACTGGCAGACTGCGGTAATCGCAGAGAAGGACTTTAATCTTCTTTGCATAGCCCGCGGCTTTGATTCGCTCCTCCGCTAGCTTCTTCTGCTCCTCGCTCAATGTGAGACTAGTAACACGGCACCCGGTTTTCTCGACTGCAAGAATTGCAAAGCTGCCCCAGCCTGTTCCGATCTCAAGAACGTGATCGGTGTTCTTTATCCTGCAGTTCTTGATGAATCGATTCAATTTTCGGTACTGCGCGCGCTCAAGGCTTTCCTGGCTGGAATGCGGATCTGACTTTGGAAGCCAGATGGGGCAGCTGTAAGTCATGTCTGGGCTGAGAAATGCGGCGAACATGTCATTGCTGATATCGTAATGAGCAGAAATGTGTAAGCGAGCGTTGGTGAGCGTGTTTGTTTTCCGCACCAGTGCGCTGATCTTGCCGAAGACATTTGAAGAGAGAGTGGTGCCGTTATCCAAGTGCTTGCGATTGGCAATGAAAAGTTTGAAAAAAGCGGTCAGGTCTGAGCAGCTGATTTCTCCCAGCATGTAAGACTCGGCAAATCCCATGTCAGCGAAAAGCATGAGGCGGACCCAGAACAGATCGTTCAGGACGCGCAGTTCGGCATGAGGGATGGTGTAGATGCTCTTCTCGCTGTCTGTCTCGGCGGCGCCTCTAGGGCTGCCACATATTGTGATGCTGCCATCTGTGTCTGTGATCTTCAAGGAGCCGACCTGCACCTGTCTCAGCAGGGCCAGAATGGCGCCTCTCGAGACGGAGAGCAGAGGAGGCCAAGCGACAGAGCCAGCGTAAGCTGCGAGAGCTGAGATGCGGCCTCTAACGTCCATGCTGCGCTGTTCTCTCCAAGATCGGGCGTGGTGTCCCAGGACGCTTCTCCCAAGCAGCCTGCGGATACGAATGCGAACGCTATCGTGTACTTCTTCGTATCATGCTTCCCGGCGGGCCGACAGAATACTCTCCAGATGTTTCAGAAGGAAAGAGGAAAGATGAGCAGGAACAAAAGCGAAGCGCGCGTACGGACTCACCGGGACTTACGACAAGCTTATCCGGCGAAAGCTGACAATACAATGACCTGCCACTCGGCACTTCGGGGCGCCAAAGGGCGTTCCCGTTGTCGTGCTCGAGTGCAGCGAAATACACCTGGCGTCCAGATAGATGGGTTTGTTGATTGGATGACGTCTTCCATTGTGCCAGAAAGGAATGGTTGCTATGCGGCACCTGTCGGATGTCCCTAGCCTGAGCTTCTGCAAAAAATGCCGGCCCCGATACTGGGTTTTGCGTTTTACCGTAGAATGCCAAGCATAGCACCTCCGCAGCATGGAACCTTATAGTTTACTAGGCATTCTGCTCCTCTTTGCTCTCGTAGACCTTAAATCGTACCCTTATACCGCCTATAGCGATTATTATTAATCTACCGCCCGAGTTAGCATATATAGTCGCAATCTACGCCGCTAGCGACCTCGTATAGTAGTATTTCGAGATGCCTAATCGAGGCAGAAATGTAACGACTTCGTAGACTTCGAGAACGCGTAAACTAGTCGATAAGAACCTACTAGCGTATAAATAGGCTACTAAGAGGCGCGAGTCGCTTATAAAAAAGAGTCGGACGAAGAATATAAAGTCGAAGGCAGTAGCGGCGCTAAAGAAGTTTAGTAAGGCTTGCGTAAATAACGCGTAGGCGTAGAGGGAGTTTACTAAGTAGAATAATAGCGCCTCGACGGCAGTTAGTAATAATAAAGAGGTCGTAGATTTAATAGCTCTAGTAGACGCCTCGCTATTAAAGGGCTCTATATTTAGTAAGTTAGCGCCGCCGCGAGTAGTTAATAGGGTAGAAATAAATAAAGAAGATATCGAGACGGCTTCTTACGACTCTCGTAATACTTTCTAGTATAAATAAGCGTAGCGCCTACTTACTAGTAACTAAGAGGTCGCTATAAAGAATTTCGAGCGTACTAGCTAGTTCGCTTAATATTGCTATAAAGCCTATCGTTAGGTAGTCTCTAAGGCGTAGAAGAAATAGCTCTTCGTAGGCGACTGCTTTATAATCGCTTCTACGAAGGGTGTTAATAAGAGCAACTAGTTTAAGTAGTCGATAACTATAGAAGAAGAAGGTAAGGTCGCTCCGGCTATATCCGTCGCTCCTACTTGCGAATACTAACCTCTCGAAGGGGATAATTATCGAATAGCTCTCGCTATAGCACTCGAGTTTAAACGTAATAGAAAGGACAAGATTAAAGTAGATCTCGAGTTTAAGATAGCGGTAAAGGATGCTATATCTACGGCCGTTAAAGTATCTAAGTTAAAGCTAAACGATTAGCAGACTGTCGATAGAATTGCCTATATTACTAAGCAACGGCAAGTTAGCAATTATATCGCTAAGATTAAAGCTAATAATTAGTATACTAACGGATCTTATAAGAACTATAACTAGTACTACTACGTACTAGACGATCTACCTAATATTAAAGACAACTATCTCTAGATTAGCAATAATAATGCTAGGCTCTAGTCTATAGCCCTTACTACTAATAAACCTAGCGTAACGACTCGGAAGCCGCCTAAGAACGTTGCTATTAAAATAGCTCAATTTACTAATAATACGAGAGATAAGGCTAAGCAGACAAGGGCAAAGGAGACTCTATATACTTAGGTACTATATACGCTATACAACCGTAGCAGGTCTGCGCCTGTATCTTATATTAATTATAAGGGAGTAATTAAGGCCGCTTTCTACGCTATTACTAGCATTCTTTAGCCTAGTAGCTCTCGTACTATTCCGGCTTAGTTAGACCCCGTAGTAGTTCGGTTTCCGAACTACTAAACGTATATAGTTTGGTTTCTTAGCGGCGAACTAGCTCCTTAGTTCCGGTTTAGTTTTTTCGAACTATATAGATTCCTAGTTTAAACTAGAGACTATATTAGTTTTACTATAAGGACACTCTTATTCGACTGCCGGCTACGATTGCCGGCTATAATAGTAACTCTGTTACATTTACTACGCTCTTTTGCCGTTACTAGGGCGTAGTTGCCGTTGCTAGGGCGTAGTTGCCGTTACTAGGGCGTAGTTTTGCTATAAGGACACTCTTATTCGACTGCCGGCTACGATTGCCGGCTATAATAGTTACTAGGTTGTATTTACTACGCTTTATTACCGTTGCTAGGGCGTAGTTGCTGTTACTAGGGCATAGTTGCCGTTACTAGGGCGTAGTTGCTATTACCGGGGCGTAGTTACCGTAGTTGCGAAAGCTTACCTATATAACGTTACGTAGGCGGCAACAATTAGGGCTTCGCGATATTCTTATACTTTTAACTTCTTCCTCTATACCTATACCGACAATAACTACTATACGCTGCGCCCCCGCCCCTTTCCCTTACAATAGTAAGAGAGAAGCGCGCCGCGCGCTAAATAGAAGATAGAACTAAAGACCGCGAGTTTGTTTTGCCTAAGCGTCTAACTAAAAAGCGCAAGACTAAAGAGAAGTACTCTACGAAGAAGAATTCCGTACGAGACCGCGAGAGAAAGGACAAGATAGATAAGGATAAAAGAGCTAAGGATAAGAGAAGAAAGGCGCGGAATAAGGCATTCTATCGATAGCTAGCGCCTATAGAAAAAAGTGAAGGTTAGAATAAGAAGACAACCTAAGAGAAGGCTAAGAGGAGGAAAGAATTACGGCTAGTTTTCGAGCGTAAAGTTCTAGTAGCGTAAGTTAATCTAGCTAGCGGCCGTAGCTAGCAGCTATAGCCGGCAGCCGTAGCCGGCAGCTATAGCCGGCATATTTTTCTTTAATACGTTAACTAATAGCATTTAGACCTATAGCCGCTACCTCTATCGATACGACCGATAGTAACGGAGATGTTTAGATAGCCGAGAACAATAATGCTAGAGTTTAGGATGCCGCGACAGAGCTTAATACTACGAATAAAGGAACTAAAAAAAGCGAGGAGATACTATACGTCGATCTGGTAATAGGTATAGTCTTAGGGCCTAACGCTATAAACGATAAGCGCTAGGAGTAGATCGAGTACAGTTAAAGAGACGAGATACTAGTAAAGGGCTAAGGTATAAGTCCTATTAATCTAGAAAATTATAGTTAAAGCTACTATAAAAAGCTAGCAAGGATTGGAATCGAGACTAGTCGTCTTTATATCCTCGATATAGAGTAGAAGTTTCTTTATTAGTATTAGAGCGAAGCCTTTGCGTCTATAAAGGCAAAGTAGCTTACGATTAATGCGATCGGGGCTAGGTATCTAGGGACGGCAGAAGTGTTACTATAGGAGGAAGGGGTATAGGTAATTATTCTATACTCGGCATATATAGCCGGCGTTCGTAGCCGGCAGATACTAATAGTTAAATAGAAAGCGTTTCTCGAAGGCAGAGTGCTACTACTATATAAAATCTTTACTAAGGTAGAGAGGGCTTATATCCGGAATCTAAGCTACTAGTAGGATAGGTTGGCGTTAGAATTCTCTGAATCTCTATATAAGCCTCCGAAGGATTACCTATTTTAGCGATACGGCTTTATCTCGACTACTCCGCAGGTATCCGAAGAAGCTCGAGCGCTCTTTAAGGTCTTTACTAAGAAGCGGAAGGAGTTCGAGGATTAGGATTAGTTAATAGAGCTATTAGTTAGTCTTAGGTTTCGTAGTTAGACTCGGCCTAAGCATTTGCTTATCGAGTGTCTTATACCGAAAGAGGATAGATTGAGACTAAAAACGAGCTTAGATTCGTTAGGTATAGTAGCTCGGTTCCGTTAGTAGGAGAGAGCCGCCGTATAGAAGGTAAAATTTAGGTAGTTAGGGTAGCTAGGAAAGAAATTCTAGTAGTTAGGCTAGCTAGGGTAGCTAGGAAAAAAAATCTAGTAGTTAGGTAGCTAGGAAACAAAAAAAAAAGGTAGCTAGCTATTTACTACCTAGCTGTTCCTAACGATACGATGCTATAAAAGAAAGGGTGTTTCTCTATAGCTACTAGTATATATCTACTACTCCTAAGTCCTTACCTTACCGTACGAAACCTTAAAACATACCGACCGACATTGTATATATACTAGGCGCTATACTAGGAAGGGTAATAACGAGACGACAGTCGAAACAGTCTAGTATACGAGCGAGATTACGATAACGTCGAGAGGAGGTCGTATACTTACCTTCGAGCCTATCGAGTCCTAGACTACGATTAGGGCTAGATTTATCCTCTCCGAATCCTAGTAGTAGGAATTCATTATAGGGTACTACTACCTAGTCCTTACCTTTACGGAGTCTAAGTAGAAGGTTATTCGGAGATATAAGAATATCGAGTATTAACCCGGAAATCTTCGAAAAGGCTAGCTAGGCGTATCTTTAGAAACCCGAGTATATAGAGCAGTTTAATTAATAGGTCTATAAGATATAGTTCCCTTTATACTTACGTTCGAAGGAGTGTAAACTCCGGAAGTACTCGATGCGATAGGGGAGTAAGGAGCGAACGGATATATTCTAGAAGTTCTTTATAGAGGGGGCATTACACCGTTATACGACTTCTCGACTTAAAGGTTAACTAGTAATTGTCTATAACTTCTACGGTTCAATCTTAAAATACCCGAAACTAGGGGATAGGAACTTATCGCCTACGAACTATCTCTATTCTAAACAGTATCGGGAATCTTAAGGAAAGAGGAGAGTTAATATAGATACAGCGTTCTAGAAAGAGGTATGTCTTCTAAAATGCCGGCTATAGCTACCGGCTATAGCTACCGGCTATAGATTCCGGCTACCTAAATCAACCGTAGAGATCTAGCTAATTATTATAGGCTACGCTTAAGGAAGCTCTAGGATTAAAGGCTACCGATTTCTCCCTTAAAGACTTTAAGCAACTAGCAAACGAAATGCTAGCTATAAACGGTCTTCCGGAAGACTTCTACGAAAGGGAGTCTATATAGAAGACATAC